TTAATGGTTGATATATATACAAAGTTCTCGACATTAATGACGTATCTATACAAAGTTCTCGACATGAATGGTTGATCTATATACAAAGTTCTCGACATGAATGGTTGATCTATATACACAGTTCTCGACATGAATGGTTGATCTATATACAAAGTTCTCGACATGAATGGTTGATCTATATACACAGTTCTCGACATGAATGGTTGATCTATATTCAGAGTTCTCGACATTAATGGTTGATCTATATACAAAGTCCTCGACATGAATGGTTGATCTATATACAAAGTTCTCGACATGAATGGTTGATCTATATTCACAGTTCTCGACATTATGGTTGATCTATATACATAGTTCTCCACATTAATGACGTATCTATACAAAGTTCTCGACATGAAAGGTTGATCTATATACAAAGTTCTCGACACTAATGGTTGATCTATATACACAGTTCTCGACATAAATGGTTGATATATATTCAAAGTTGTAGACATTAATGACTGATATGCATACAAAGTTCTTGACATAAATGATTTATCACTATACAAAGTTATCGACATTAATGATTGATCTATATACAAAGTTCTCGACATAAATGATTTATCTATATACAAAGTTCTCGGCATTAATGATTGATCTATATACAAAGTTCTCGACATGAATGGTTGATCTATATTCACAGTTCTCGACATTAATGGTTGATATATATACAAAGTTCTCGACGTTAATGATTGATATACATACAAAGTTGTCGACATTAATGATTGATCTACATACCAAGTTCTCAACATAAATGATTTATCTATATACAAAGTTCTCGAGACATTAATGATTGATCTATATACAAAGTTCTCGACATGAATGGTTGATCTATATACACAGTTCTCGACATGAATGGTTGATCTATATACAAAGTTCTCGACATGAATGGTTGATCTATATACACAGTTCTCGACATGAATGGTTGATCTATATTCACAGTTCTCGACATTAATGGTTGATCTATATACAAAGTCCTCGACATGAATGGTTGATCTATATACAAAGTTCTCGACATGAATGGTTGATCTATATACACAGTTCTCGACATTAATGGTTGATATATATTCAAAGTTGTCGACATTAATAATTGATATGCATACAAAGTTCTTGACATAAATGATTTATCTATTTACAAAGTTCTCGACATGAATGGTTGATCTATATTCATAGTTCTCGACATTAATGGTTGATCTACATACAAAATTCAAGACATTAATTCTTGACCTACATAAACAGTACTCGATATTAATGGCTGATCTGCATACACAGTTCTCGACATTAAAGACTGATCTACAAACAAGTTTCTCGGTATTAATTGTTGCTCTAAATGCAAAGTTTTTGACATTGTTCCTGTCCTTTCGCCCCTTCGTTCATTGAAAAAGGCGGGTTGTTCCTCTTGATTGACCTTTTGTCAGTATCATTCCATAAACGCACATAACGCACGCCACTGAACTGCACTCTTGTAACTTGACAAGGCAACGTGTTATCTTTTATTATCTGCGTGACCCCTCAAAAACAACGCTGAGAATAGTTCGACGAATATTATCTTTCTCCCAAGAGTACATTGGCTGACGGTATGTTGTGCTACCGTCCAAAGACTTACTCTCTCCCAATTCTGTCATGCGTCTTGTATGATCTCCCACCCTAACCTACCAGTTCTTCCTGGTCAGTAACGCACGTTCAAATGAAATCTGTGAATTAGTTCAAGCGTTGCCTTGTGCGCTCTTCTAACAGCTTTTACGTTTTTTAAACCATGGTAGTTTAATCTCACATTAACATAACCTATTATTTTCCCTTAAAAAATCAAATTGCTTAAAATTTTCCTTCCTGATTCATATTTCGTATAGCAAAGTAGGGCGTATCCTTTGTTAAACGTACAATGCATTACATTTGAAATACATACAGACATCTTCCTCTGGAGTATGTCTGTAAGCTACTTTTCTTCACTGAAAAATATTTCTTCCTTGTCAGGTGAGGTGAGGTGAAATTGGGTTTAACGTCGCGTCCAAGATTATTGCACTTATATAGCGACGTGCATGCACGTGTGTGTGTGTGTGTGTGTGTGTGTGTGTGTGTGTGTGTGTGTGTGTGTGTGTGGCTGCTTGTACTAGAACGGACTGATGCCGATTTCTAGTGCTAGCCAACTGAGATACCATGCCGCAGTTTAACATGAATACCCCACTCAGACACAGTATACTGACTCCGAGCCGACCGGTCCTTGATTTAACCCCTTAATGACGAGCGCCAGACAGGGTAACAACAAGTACCATCTTTTAACGTCTTTTGGTATGACACGGCCGGGGATCGAACCCCGGACCTTCCGCTCTCCGGGCGGACGCTCTACCACTTGACCACGGAGGCGTACTCTCCCTTGTCATGACTCATGTAGGCAGCTCCATTTTGTTTACTACCACACGTTCAGCAGTAAGCACATGGTTCGTCACATACCCCTAAATTAGCAGTAGGCCTTAGACGTAATCATGTAACGTTCATATTGAATGTCAAGTTGACTACGTATGAAACAGACTGTGAATATCGGTTGGTTATCCTCGCAGTCGGTATTCCATCCACACCACCAGGACATGGTGAAAACCAATGACAGAAAGTCCTAGCAACTCTCTCCGCCGCCGGGGAACGATAACAATCTTGAAGAAGCCTGGCCATCCTGTTTAATTTAATATCGTCTCTTATAACAATTATCCATCCTTGTTCGTGACTGGCTACTCCATGGTGAGGTCAGATTATGACGGACTACTTTTTTTACTGTTAGTCCTTGAGTTTCTTGTGCTTCAGTCGATCCGATGCTAAAAAGAATCAATTATCTATATACTTGTTTATCGTATGTAAGGAATAGATTACTGATTATCACGGAGGAAATTGCAAACGAAAATAACATTGTTTAATTGTTCCATGGCGTCATCATTACATAATACATTGTAGCATGACATTGCTGTGCAAACATAAACTTCTTTACACATTCTGACACCACTTTCGTGTAAAACTCTCGAATATATTATCTTTTATTCGTGTTTGATATACATTCTTCCCTTTTCTATTTTTCTACTGCATTCTACTTAAAGGTAAACCATGATGCCATAATATATTTCACTCCAGAATGATCTTATTTATTTTGTTTGTAGCAATGTTTCCGAAAGGTCCGATGGTGTGAATATGTGAATATTCAATGTCGATAGATATTATAGTCTTTGAACGACGTAACATGGTCATGAATATTCGCTACATTCCGTGTCACCTTGAACTTTACATAGACGATCGATATGATCAACGTCACTGATATTCAGGTAGTTGTCAGGAGTAGTTCGATGATGAATTCCTAGAGGACTCGCATATGAGGGGTAGTGTTTCTCAAACAAAGTTTCACAAAAACGATATCCATGACTTCTCCACACATCACATTACAAAGTACACATGTATATGTATTTGGGGTGAAAGTCTAGATGTATCAGCGGGTACCGTTATCTCTGCTGGGAGACCCACGTATGCACATAACAGGTTATGTCAACACTGGCTACAGGAGGCTCGCTCCCTTCTACTTCCTGAAACACCTGTGCACCGACATGGGTCAATGATATATGAATTGCACACGACGCTGTCGGAATGCTGATACTCTTGTTACCACAGCACTTTACAATATCTTACTATTTAATTGACACAACTATTATATAATCATAAGTCACATCTGCTGAAAGATGAAGGAGTCATCACTGAACAAAGAAAATGTATTATTATATTAATTAGACGAGGGGTCTCACCGGACTGCTTTATTTTTAGTTCAGGTGGGAAAATCAGAGGAAGTGAATTGGCTATTTGACCGTTATTGAACGATATCATATCATAGATATACCTGAAGCTTAAGATAGACTTCATGGCCAAATCGCCTTGATTTAACTAAACCCAATCCGTGCAGACAATCCGATTCATATGCATAGATAAACGCGAAAAAACCCTTTCCATATTTATAAGAAATCACTGCCAAAAACAGAGTCGAGTGTACGATTCTTACTATATCATGAGCATGTGGTTTTGAATCTCTATCAAATAGTGATGATACCAGGTGTTCGCGAAAAGGTGAGCGTATCCTTTCCCACCTGTGGCAGCCGCAACAAACACATGCAAAGGCAAGTCAATAGTTCACTTGACAAGCCTCGGGAACGTATGGTACAAGTGAAAATAGGGAATACATATGTTTTGAATTTGCGAAAAGGGTGTAGTAACACCCCACTGAATTACAAAACGAACATATTTCTTAAATGTACTCCTTACTTATAAGCAGCAGATCTCTGCACTTGTACACAGAAGTCATATATTAAAAAACATGACATCGTTTCAGTTTTAAAATCTGTAAAGGGGTCATCGTGTCACTGGATTTTCTTGTCCATTGATCGTCGATCTGGTTTGTTTAAAGGCCGCCGTCGTATGTCGAATTGCTCACGAACGAACTCACGAACGGAATTCTCTCAACGGGTACGGATGCATAACTCTAGTGGTTAAATCCTTCGAAGGCCTGGGTTCTATTCTCCACATGGGTACAATGTGTGAAGCCTGTTCCTGTGTCCCCCGCCGATGGGTTGCTGGGATATTGCTAAAAGTGGTGTGAAATTAATGTTTACGTCATACATTCCATCGGAATATATGATAATACTTCCATGCTGATATCACATGCCAATATTTAAATTTTATCGCGCTTTTCTACTCCAGAGTAGTCGCCGATGGGAACAGAATAGATGTATATCATTTCACTGACCTCTGTGGTACATGACCGCGTGCATAACAGGGGTCCTTATCAGTCAGTCTCACGTGCAGATATAACAGTTATAACACACGTTGTTGTAGTTTCACTATTCCCATAGCTCTTAATAAATGTTTTTAGTTCTATTAATAGTGCCTATGCAGGAAAACGAAAAGGAAACGAGTGCTTGTTACATGCTCCCTTTTTTCAGTGATGTAAGGTCTTGTCCACAAACTCCTCACACAGTCAGCCGACCCGCCATCATGACTGACGACAAGCCGCCAGAAATTGTTCCAAGGTAGGAATCTTTGATTGATTGATTGATTGATGTATTGTGTGATGAGAGACTGTGTATGAGTTGGTGGGTGAGTGAGTGGGCTTGTGAGCGATTGTGTGGATGAGTGAGTCGGTATTCGGGTGAGAAAGTGAGAGTGGGGATGATGTTTTAATACAACAATCAACATCATCACGGCGTGAATCAGCAAAGCCCCTGGCTTTTGTTGTCAAGAGACACAGTTCATCATGGTATGATTGAATGTGCATCATGATATGATTGAATGTGCATCATGGTATGATTGAATGTGCAATCATTTATAGCGATTAAATCGTGATCTGTGTACAGATTGTAGGCCGGTCAACTTGGAAGTTGACGGCGATGGGGTGGGATTACCTCAGACTGTGGACAAGAACAAGAGCAGTCCAACCTTCTTTAGTCATAGTGTTGAACAGAAACAGATTCGAGGGCAAATCCAACTCTACCGGCCAAGCCCAGAAACGTTTTGGCATGTTCCTCTTCAGGCTGTATTTACAAGCAGGTGACGTGAGCAGTCAGTGTCGGAGATCCAGAAGGGTGTGTGTTTGTGTTGGAGGGAAGGGGTGGGGGGGTGGGGGGGTGGGGGGGGTCATGGGTATAATGTGTGAAGCCAATTACTGGTGTCCCCCGCCGTGATATTGCTGGAATATTGCTAAAAGCGGCGTAAAACCTCACTCACTCACTCACCGCCAAGGGGACGTCTTGGGAGGGGAGGCAATCGATGTAAGTGTATATGTGGTAGTGGACAAGAGAAGGGTCAATGCGTTTCTATGAGGAAATTTGGAAATATGAAATACCGACACTTCTCTTCACTTCTGAAGACTAGAGATGGCATTGTGTTCACTTTCGCTGTGCTGGACAATGGCTGCTGACGAATAACATAGATTACAACTTGTGCAGTTGTCCAGATTGCATTTACGTTACATCAATAAAGCAAACCGGAAGAAATATTACATAATATATGTACAATACTAGTCTCAAAAAGAGTGTTTTATGGAGCTTTGTCACACACTAGTGGTCGATGTGTTCCTCTCATATTGCTCGACTCTCATAATAATGTTATTGTATAAGGCCATTTCTAACCTCAATACATACTAATGTACTTGAGCAGTTATGAATATGAATCAATTTTTGCCCACACTCTTAGTAACACAGTTGTACCGAACAGTTATGAATATTAATCTATATTTGCCCACACTCTTAGTTATACAGTTGTACTTGAGCAGTTATGAATATTAATCTATATTTGCCCACACTCTAAGTAATACAGTTGTACTTGAGCAGTTATGAATATTAATCTATATTTGCCCACGCTCTTAGTAACACAGTTGTACTTGAGCAGTTATGAATATTAATCTATATTTGCCCACGCTCTTAGTGATACAGTTGTACTTGAGCAGTTATGAATATTAATCTATATTTGCCCACACTCTTAGTAACACAGTTGTGCTTGAGCAGTTATGAATATTAATCTATATTTGCCCACACTCTTAGTAAAACAGTTGTACATGAGCAGTTATGAATATTAATCTATGTTTGCCCACAGTCTTAGTAATACAGTTGTACCGAGCAGTTATGAATATCAATCTATATTTGCCCACACTCTTAGTAACACAGTTGTACTTGAGCAGTTATGAATATTAATCTATATATACCCACACTCTAAGTAACACAGTTGTACTTGAGCAGTTATGAATATTAGTCTATATTATCAAACACCAAGGAGAATGAGTATTTCCTGTTGACTTCAGACAGAAAGGCGTATATGTGATATTGTCATTTGCTGTTATTCTCATCTGAAAGTGCTTGTTAAGAGATACTGTTATACAGGAAATGACGTCAGGTGGTGTGAGTCGACTCGATGTTCTTCCTGGTTATCACAGTCTATATATATGTGCAGTTACGCTGACTACTAAGTACTCGAGTAAGACTCAGGCCAGGGACTCAAGAAGGCGACCAGGGATAAGAGTCGTGTGTTTTCGCTAGATTCACGAACACACTCCAAGTGTTGACACCGACAACCAGTGACTGAAACACTCATTGTTCTGTACATATAGCTACATATGTTAATACGCTGACATCGGGTAGTCGAGACTTTGTGCAAACATATTTCATTCACAAAAGCGTGAAAGGTATCGGGCACAAGCTGTCACGAACTCTCTCTAAAACAAATTTTCAAATATTTAGAGGTAAAGACAACAGGGATAAGATAGAATAGGAAGAATGTATTTACCAAACTCGATTCCGGTTCGAATTTGGAGATACTGGTTCTCGGGTGCATTTCTGTCAATTCAGTCCTTCCAAATGCCAACATAGGATGTCTCTGCCCAGTTATTTGGGGCTGTTATCCGTGTCTCTTTCTCCTATAGATGGCTGTTATCCATGCGTCTGGTCCTGCTCTTGGTGGCTGTTATCCATGCGTCTGGTCCTGCTACTTTTATTGAGAGAGAGTTTATTGCAGTAAAGGGGCCACCGGCCCATTATACAATACATATTTCATTGATTTTTTCAATTCAATTGAGCGCCATACAATATTATACATTGGTCAATCAAAGTGACAATTAATTAATATTGAGTTGTTTACATCTTTTTTTCATTGACAGGAAAATATATTTCGCTAAGACATTTACAGTGTAGGCATTTTGTGATGACAGTAGTTGTTGGAATTTAAAAAGAGTTGGGTTTTGTACATAGTATTTCGGTAATAGACTTCTTATATCATTATAGAATGGGCATATCATACAAAAATGGTATTGAGTTTCGACACAAGGTACGATACACAATGGACAGAATCGTTCATTCGCACTTATACCAAGTGTACGTCCGTATTCAATCATAAGTTTATGGTTTGAACATCTAAATTTAATCAGAGCATTTCTATAAGGATGTACAGTGACAAGTGATAGGTATTCTTCAAATTTAAAGACAGTCTTAACAGACTGGTACATTTTCAATTTAGAATATTTTGACAAATCCTCAAACCACATTTGGTAATCAATCTCTTTACAACGCTCTTCAAACTCTGACAAAAAGGAAGTGATACAATTAACATTTTGTTTTTTCCAAACAAATCCAAAACCGTACTTAAATAAAAGCATTTTAACATTATATGCCCAACAACTCTTGTCTAATTCAGCTAACCTATATTGAAAAGAATAAGCCTGCTGTAGAATCACATTATCTTGTTGATAAATTAATCTCAGCCAATACTTAATTATTTTGATGTACATCTTAGCTTTTAATGAACAATATCCAACTTCACCTCTAGCAACAACATTTGGTGTGTTTCTACCAAGACAGAGTAATTGCTTAAAGTAAGTATCGTAAACACGGGTTGCGTCTGGCGATGGATGAAAACCCCAAATTTCAGATCCATAAGTCAACACTGGTAACAATTTAACATAAAAAGTGTACAGCAATACTGGCAATGATAAATTTCTAAAATTATTACATTGGGAGCGCATTGTATTCAAAACCTTGGACATTTGAAAAGACAGAGTTTTCTGTGTTTTATTCCAGGAACCACTGCTAGAGAACTGAACACCTAAATATTTATAGGAAGGAACTATTTCTAATGGTCTATTATCAAGATAAAACTTTTCATAATTCCTAAGTCTACCACCTTTTCTAAAAACAACTACTTTTGTTTTCTCAACATTAACACAGAGGCTCCATTTTTTACAATAAACAGATAATTTGTCAAGTCTTTTTTGTAGACCCTTTACTGTACTATCGAAGAGTGCCATGTCATCTGCAAACAGTAACATAAAAATATTACAAATACCCAATTCTATACATCTATCCTCATCTACATTCAAAAAAATCTATAATATCATTAATATACAATGAAAAAAGTAGTGGAGATAGTTGGCATCCCTGTTTCACACCGTTTAAGCAGTTGAAAAAATCAGTAAAACCACCCTGCAGTGAAATACATGACTGAACATTGGAATACATATTTCTAATAAGGCGAAAAACACTTCCTTTTATGTTGTACAACCAAATCTTATATAACATACTTTTTCTATTAATTGAATCAAATGCAGCTTTAAGGTCAATAAAACAACAATATAATCGACCTTTATACAAAGCAAAGTATTTAGCGCTCAATGTATCTAAAACAAACATGTTGTCCAGTGTTTGAAATCCATGTCTAAAACCAGCTTGTTCAGGGATAAGAATATCATTAGTTTCAACAAATTTGGTCAGTCTTTCACATATAATTTTAGCAAATATTTTACCAGAAACTTCCAATAAAGTTATGGGGCGATAATTTTTAGGATTGTTAACATTTCCTTTTTCATGAATTGGAAGTATTTCACCAAGTGACCACTGTTTTGGATAGATACCAGTTCTCAATACTGCATTGTATAAAGTCAGTAATAGGTTAACGCAAGCAAATGGAGCATTTTTGAAAAAGTCAATTGGTATACCACTATATCCAAGAGCTTTGCCCTTTTTCATACCTGAAATAGCAGCAGTAATTTCATCATAACTAATATCTCTATCTAAATCATTCGTATTTACAGTTGTATCTATCAAATCATCGGTGATTGAGTCAATAAGTCCATTATGCGTTTAATAAAGGATTGTTCATCGGGTGAAGTGCTTATACTATTAAAGTGGCTTTCAAAATGTCTTATCCACTCAGCAGGTGTAATAACTGGGTTAGTGAATTGTCGTTTTCCCTTTAGAAATGACCAGAATAGTTTGTTGTCCCTATTAAGAAGGCTCTCCTGAAGTTTTTCCGTTTTCATATTGAGAGCACGTGTACATTTCAGGTGACATAGATGTTTGTATGATTTCCATGCTTCGATATAGGTGAGGCGGTCGCGTGTACAGTTAGTTGCATGAAATGCACGAAGTTTACGGCGTGCGTCACACCTGGCTTGGTAGCATTCCGCATCCCACCAGTTATGTCCCTTGTTGACTGTGGATACTGACGATTTCTTGAAGTCCTTTGAACATGACAGTAGCAAGTCGTGGAATGTTTCAGCCACTTCCTCGACACGCCCACATGCTGCTATTGTTGTTATTTCTTGGATAGAATGTTCCGATATTAAATTCCAATTTTCAGTGTATTTTACCATTTTGTTCTCGTTCCAGACATATCTTGACTTTTTAAATAATGTATCGTTGGTCAACTTAGGTGATCTATATCCCTTGAACAGGACAGAGTATGTGATAGGAAAGTGTGTGGATTCAACTTCGTTACAAATATCGAAACTGGTAAACTGGTGAAATATGTTATTTGAGCACAAAACATAATCTACAACGCTTTGGCCCTCATTCACAACACAAGTTATTTTCCCAATGTCTTTATTTTGAAACAAACGACCATTGCAGATACGGAGTTCATTTTTCTTGCAAAAGTCTAACAATGACTTTCCCCTTTTGTTTACATTGTTGTCTTGAGATATTCTTGGGGCGGGTTCATCCATTATATAGTTTATATTTTCGTCAATTGGCAAATAGGTGGTATCATCATTTTCTAAATGGTCTGCTAAATTCCCAGTTCTGGCGTTAAAGTCACCATGTAGAATGAATTCACAATTAGGAAAAGAACTTCGAAACGTATCAATATCCTCTTCTAGAATATCAAACAATTGTTCCTTTGAGTGTGAGCTGGTTGATCCTTCTGGAGAGTAATACACAGTGCATATCACCACAGTAATGTTTAACTGAAGTTTTATCCACTGGACATTATCTGTTTTAGTACAGCCATGTAATTCACAGACGTTAGATGAAATGTCTTGATTCACGAATGTGAGTATCCCGCCTGAGTTTCTGATAGCACCACTTGCTTTCGTTCTGGTTTTGCTGTATGTATTATATCCATTAATGTCTACTTTATCTTCTTTATTCAACCAGGATTCCACGAAACATGCTATATGATGTTTATTGATAAAATCTAAAGAAAGACTCTTTTGTAGTAATCTCTTGAAACCTTCACAGTTCCACACTGACAGTTTTAGGCTGATATCTGTGCATAATGGACGTTGGCCACACCCCTAATCATCATCATTCGTATCTGTTGCTTCCGCTGATTCCGTCACCGCTATTGGTGGCTGTTATCCATGTGTCTGGTCCTGCTATTGGTGGCTGTTATCCACGTGTCTGGTCCTGTTATAGATGGCTGTTATCCATGCGTCTGGTCCTGTTATAGATGTCTGTTATCCATGCGTCTGGTCCTGCTATTGGTGGCTGTTATCAATGTCTCTGGTCCTGCTATTAGTGGCTGTTATCCACGTGTCTGGTCCTGTTATAGATGGCTGTTATCCATGTCTCTGGCCCTGTTATTAGTGGCTGTTATCCATGTGTCTGGTCCTGCTATTGGTGGCTGTTATCAATGTGTCTGGTCCTGCTATTGGTGGCTGTTATCCATGTCTCTGGTCCTGCTATTAGTGGCTGTTATCCACGTGTCTGGTCCTGTTATAGATGGCTGTTATCCATGTCTCTGGCCCTGTTAATGGTGGCTGTTATCAACGTGTCTGGTCCTGCTATTGGTGGCTGTTATCCATGTCTCTGGTCCTGCTATTAGTGGCTGTTATCCACGTGTCTGGTCCTGTTATAGATGGCTGTTATCCATGTCTCTGGCCCTGTTAATGGTGGCTGTTATCAACGTGTCTGGTCCTGCTATTGGTGGCTGTTATCCATGTGTCTGGTCCTGCTATTAGTGGCTGTTATCCATGTCTCTTGTCCTGCTATTGGTGGCTGTTATCCATGTGTCTAGTCCTGTTATAGATGGCTGTTATCCATGCGTCTGGTCCTGCTATTGGTGGCTGTTATCCATGTCTCTGGTCCTGTTATTTATGGCTGTTATCAATGTGTCTGGTCCTGCTATTTTGGCTGTCATGCACGTGTCTGGCCCTGCTATTGGTGGCTGTTATCCATGTGTCTGGCCCTGCTATTGGTGGCTGTTATCCATGTCTCTGGTCCTGCTATTAGTGGCTGTTATCAATGTGTCTAGTCCTGCTATTAGTGGCTGTTATCCATGTGACTGGTCCTGTTGAAGATGGCTTTTATCCACGTGTCTTGTCCTGCTATTGTTGGCTGTTATCCATGTGTCTGGTCTGGGAAAAACAGGCGAGCGAGCCTGCACGTTTGCTGTTTCATTCCTTCTCGGTCTTCGGTCTCAAAGGGTTGTTTGGACAATGAATATGCATGAATTTCGCTAAAACTCCTGTGCATGACGATACGCGTGAGCAGAAAGGGAATTCCCATGACTGTATTATTGGGATTCCCCGATATTTTGTAGTGCGCCTCGGTGGGCGTGGCTTAATTTTGTACATTCATTGGGAAATGAATGCAATAAGACATGACCAATTCAGCTTATTATCGTATTATTGACGGTTGTGTCCGGTCCTGTTATTGATGGATGTGTCTGGCCATGTTATTGATGGATGTGTCTGGTTATGTTAGTGATGGTTGTTCCTGGTCGTGTTATTGATGGTTGGATCTGGTCATGTTATTGATGGTTGGGTCTGGTCATGTTATTGATGGTTGGATCTGGTCGTGTTATTGATTGTTGTGTCTGGTTGTGTTATTGATGGTTGTTTCTGGTTGTGTTATTAATGGTTCTGTCTGGTCATGTTATTGATGGTTGTTCCTAGTGGTGCTATTGACGGTTGTGCCTGGTTGTGTTATTGATGGTTGTGTCTGGTTGTGTTATTGATGGTTGTATCTGGTCATGTTATTGATGGATGTGCCTGGTTGTGTTATTGATGGTTGTGTCTGGTTGTGTTATTGATGGTTGTGCCTGGTCATGTTATTGATGGATGTGTCTGGTTGTGTTATTGATGGTTGTGCCTGGTCGTGTTATTGATGGTTGTGCCTGGTCATGTTATTGATGGATGTGTCTGGACGTGTTATTGATGGTTGGGTCTGGTTGTGTTATTGAAGGTTGGATCTGGTCATGTTATCGATGGTTGTGTCTGGTCATTTTATTGATGGTTGTGTCCGGTCATGTTATTGATGGTTGGATCTGGACGTGTTATTGATGGTTGGATCTGGTCATGTTATTGATGGTTGGGTCTGGTCATGTTATTGATGGTTGGATCTGGTCGTGTTATTGATTGTTGTGTCTGGTTGTGTTATTGATGATTGGGTCTGCACGTGTTATTGATGGTTGTGTTTGGTCATGTTATTGATGGTTGTTCCTGGTCATGTTATTGATGGATGTGTCTGGTGGTGTTATTGATAGATGTGTCTAGTTGTGTTATTGGTGGGTGTGTCTGGTTGTGTTATTGATGGTTGTGTCTGGTCATGTTATTGATGGTTTGGTCAGGTCATGTTATTGATGGTTGGGTCTCTTTGTGTTATTTATGTTTTTTTCTGGTCGTGTTGTTGATGGTTGGGTCTGGTCGTGTTATTGATGGTTGCGTCTGGTCGTGTTATTGATTGTTGTGTCTGGTCATGTTATTGATGGTTGCGTCTGGTCGCGTTATTGATGGTTGTATCTGGTTCTGTTATTGATGGATGTGTCTGGTTGTGTTATTGATGGTTGGGTCTAGTCGTGTAATTGATGGTTGGATCTGGTCATGTTTTTGATGAATGTGTCTGGTCGTGTTATTGATGGATGTGTCTGGTCCTGTCCTACAGGAAGAGGCCGCCGAGGAAGGAGCAGGAGGTGCCCCTCCGCTTCTCCGAGGGGGATGACGACTACACCATGAAAGAGTTTTATGACCTGTACAGCAACTGCCTCCCTAAGACTGTGGTCGTAACACAGGGCAGCTATGGAGACATCGACCTGGACACCTTCTGCTCCGGCCAGGTAAGGGAAACCATGTGTAGAAGTAGGGGTGCAGTCGAGGTTGGTGGCGGTTGTCCACATCTCCATGTGTAGAAGTAGGGGAGTGATGTACTCGAGGCGGGTGGTCCACATCTCCATGTGTAGAAGTAGGGGAGTGATGTACTCGAGGCGGTTGTCCACATCTCCATGTGTAGAAGTAGGGGAGTGATGTACTCGAGGGGGGTGGTCCACATCTCCATGTGTAGAAGTAGGGGAGTGATGTACTCGAGGCGGTTGTCCACATCTCCATGTGTAGAAGTAGGGGAGTGATGTACTCGAGGGGGGTGGTCCACATCTCCATGTGTAGAAGTAGGGGAGTGATGTACTCGAGGGGGGTGGTCCACATCTCCATGTGTAGAAGTAGGGGAGTGATGTACTCGAGGCGGGTGGTCCACATCTCCATGTGTAGAAGTAGGGGAGTGATGTACTCGAGGCGGGTGGTCCACCTCTCCGTGTTTAGGAGTAGGGGAGTGGTGTACTCGAGGGGGGTGGTCCACATCTCCATGTGTAGAAGTAGGGAGCGATGTACTCGAGGCGGGTGGTCCACATCTCCATGTGTAGAAGTAGGGGAGTGATGTACTCGAGGCGGGTGGTCCACATCTCCATGTGTAGAAGTAGGGAGCGATGTACTCGAGGTGGGTGGTCCACATCTCCATGTGTAGAAGTACGGAGCGATGTACTCGAGGCGGGTGGTCCACATCTCCATGTGTAGAAGTAGGGAGCGATGTACTCGAGGTGGGTGGTCCACATCTCCATGTGTAGAAGTAGGGAGCGATGTACTCGAGGGGGGTGATCCACATCTCCATGTGTAGAAGTAGGGGAGTGGTGTACTCGTTGGGGGTGGTCCACATCTCCTTGTGTAGAAGTAGGGAGCGATGTACTCGAGGCGGGTGGTCCACATCTCCTTGTGTAGAAGTAGGGGAGTGATGTACTCGAGGTGGGTGATCCACATATCCATGTGTAGAAGTAGGGAGCGATGTACTCGAGGTGGGTGGTCCACATCTCCATGTGTAGAAGTAGGGGAGTGATACACTCGAGACGGGTGGTCCACATCTCCATGTGTAGAAGTAGGGGAGTGATGTACTCGAGGCGGGTGGTCCACATCTCCATGTGTAGAAGTAGGGGAGTGATGCACTCGAGACGGGTGGTCCACATCTCCATGTGTAGAAGTAGGGGAGTGATGTACTCGAGGCGGAGGGTCCACATCTCCATGTGTAGAAGTAGGGGAGTAATGTACTCGAGACGGGTGGTCCACATCTCCATGTGTAGAAGTAGGGAGCGATGTACTCGAGGCGGGTGGTCCACATCTCCTTGTGTAGAAGTAGGGGAGTGATGTACTCGAGGCGGATGGTCCACATCTCCATGTGTAGAAGTAGGGGAGTGATGTACTCGAGGGGGATGGTCCACATCTCCATGTGTAGAAGAAGGAGAGCGATGAACTCGAGGCGGGTGGTCCACATCTCCATGTGTAGGAGTAGGGGAGTGGTGTACTCGAGACGGGTGGTCCACATCTCCATGTGTAGAAGAAGGGGAGTGATGTACTCGAGGCGGGTGGTCCACATCTCCATGTGTAGAAGTAGGGGAGTGATGTACTCGAGGCGGATGGTCCACATCTCCATGTGTAGAAGTAGGGGAGTGATGCACTCGAGGTGGCTGGTCCACATCTCCATGTGTAGAAGTAGGGGAGTGGTGTGCTCGAGGGGGGTGGTCCACATCTCCATGTGTAGAAGTAGGGAGCGATGTACTCGAGGCGGGTTGTCCACATCTCCATGTGTAGAAGTAGGGGAGTGATGTACTCGAGGCGGGTGGTCCACATCTCCATGTGTAGAAGTAGGGGAGTAATGTACTCGAGACGGTTGGTCCACATCTCCATGTGTAGAAGTAGGGGAGTGATGTACTCGAGGCGGGTGGTCCACATCTCCATGTGTAGAAGTAGGGGAGTGATGCACTCGAGACGGGTGGTCCACATCTCCATGTGTAGAAGTAGGGGAGTGATGTACTCGAGGCGGGTGGTCCACATCTCCATGTGTAGAAGTAGGGGAGTGATGTTCTCGAGGCGGAGGGTCCACATCTCCATGTTTAGTAGGGGAGTGATGTACTCGAGGCGGGTGGTACACATCTCCATGTGTAGAAGTAGGGGAGTGATGTACTCGAGGCGGGTGGTCCACATCTCCATGTGTAGAAGTAGGGGAGTGATGTACTCGAGACGGTTGGTCCACATCTCCATGTGTAGAAGTAGGGGAGTGATGTACTCGAGGCGGGTGGTCCACATCTCCATGTGTAGAAGTAGGGGAGTGATGTACTCGAGGCGGGTGGTCCACATCTCCATGTGTAGAAGTAGGGGGACGAGCTGTACTGGAGGGCTCCCTACGCCTATATGTAGAGGAAGAGGTCGGTGTGTGCGAGGTTGTGTGATTTTTGTGTCTTGTCTTTTTGTTCAATCGGCATTGATTAGCCTACTCTCTGGCCAGGTCATGCACATTCACACCCACACGCAGCAGACGCGGGTGGTGGCCCGAGACAACCTTGGCAGGACCTTCAGCATCCCCAAAGACTACCCCATGAAGTTTCAGCTGGTCAAGTCCAGAGGCAAAGGTACGCTTACTCCAAGATATAGCTTGTGCAAAGCACTCGTTACTGAATTGGAATAATTTTGTAATAATTAGGCTTTCTTTTTGACCGGTGATTGCCTCATTGATTTTAAGCATTTTTGGCCAATTTCGGTCCGCAAAGCGACCGAAACGCTTAGACGATCGTAACTCCCACAGTTTAACATACACTTATGAAAGTCGTAGCACCAAGATCGATTTGTCAAACGGGACCCTATTATCCGAGTTCACATTCATTATTCACAACAAATCTTATAGTCTGCACGGATTGTCTTGTGTGCAACTCGCTGTGTAGGTTTGATTTTCTTACCTGCCTGGATCCACCGGCCGCGAGCTCGCCCATATAATGTTCCTTGGTCTGTCACCACACACGTGCTCATGGGATTCAACAAAGTGGAAAACGACCTGCATCAATTTGAGAGTACTTCAGAATTGACTTGACACACCATGGTATAACTGAAATACTGTACTCACACTCTGCTAATGACCAAAAGTACTGGAATAGAAATGTTCACGTAATAATGGATTTTGATCCCTAGTTGGACCCGCACAAAGCCTAAAGGAGATCCTAGAGGAGAACACGTTGCCGATGCAGGTGAAGTTCGCCGTCCCTGAAGACTACACGTTCCATATCGGCTGTGATCAACAGAAGGTCCGGGACATCAGCAACTTGGCGTTGGTGCAGGAGTACGACGAATCCTACATGCTGGCTAACTGTATCAATACAAGTGAGTACAAGCCCTTGGCAGGAAGGGCTTTATGATAAATTTCCCCTTCCTATCAGTATGTTCAACCCTTCATAATATAACTACTGACGTTTCGAATGAATTCTAAGTAATAAATTACTGGTGCTGGTTCGCGATAGATACGTCACAGAGGAAGCCCATTAACAAATGTATGAAGGCTGCGTCATGTGAAGCACCTATAAACAGTTTGTTTATTTGTTTGTTGTTTAACGCCGCACTCAGCAGTATTCCAACTACATGACGGCGGTCTGTAAATGATCAAGTCTGGACCTGACAATCGAGTGATTGACAGCATGAGTATCGATCTACGCAAGTAGGATACGATGACATGCATCAACCAAGTCAGCGAACCTGGCCACCCGATCCCGTTAGTCGCCTCATACCTACCTACCTACCTACCTACCTACCGACCACCACCCCCACCCCATACATACATACATACATACATACATACATACATACATACATACATACATACATACATACATACATACATACATACATACATACATACATACATACATACATACATACATACATACATACATACATACATACCCCATGAAGTATCTATGGATCTTGGACATCAAAATGGGACCTGTCTCAAAAGTAGATTTTTCCAATAGATACATGGAGGTTCGGGAGAAATTGAAATATAGAAAGGGTGGACCTTAACGTTAACGCTATATATTTATAGCTCTGTGAAGTGTTTGACGTGTATTTAGAAGTTGACTGATTGGAGGACTTGAAAGCTTATTAATGACAGCATCCAAAGGGCCTTTCGTTCAAGGGGTACACGTAAATTAGGGGACAAGAAGGGTTCTTCAAAGTCGAGTGTTTTATACCGAAACATGAAGACTTTGAAGGTCTCCAGAAACTGCTAATTGTCTTGCCAACGGGGCTGTAACATCTTACTGTATTGTTTTGCGTGTGTGTTGCAGAAACTATAGACAAGAAGACAGTGCTTGTTCCGGTTTACCTCCAAGACCTGTTGATCGCCATGGCAACCGGTCTGGAGGGGAAGACCGAGGAAGAGTGGAAGGAGTACGAGCTCTTCCTGGCGGAGGAGATGAAGTCGGTTAAGGTGGATCTCAACGTCGGGAACAAAGGTAAGTGTCACCCCGTGTCTTAACAGCCCAAACTGAAGCTCCGATGTATCCTTTTTATTTTGAATCTTGAACGGCAAGGGTTTACAAACTGATACATTTTGGTTTGTATCTGATACATACTTCGCTGTATAGATGCAGCCAACCGCCTGTTGCGACACCGATTTTGATCACCGACACCGATCAGACCAGCGTTTAATGTCCATTAATGTTACTTTTTGTATAGATTTCGGGAATAAGAAAGACATGTTAATTGTCCCTGAGCAGCTGTATCGGGAGATTACTGCTGAAATAGACACGTTTTTGTACTGAAATTTTCTTGATGACCAATTGTGACGTTCTTTCTTTTCAGATATTGCTTTTTACTCCAATGAGACCCTTGGGTTGTCGGACAACGTGTATGACTATATCGAACCAAAGGACTTTCTGACATTCAAACTCGTTGCGGGAACAGACGATGATGGGTATGGTATGGTCGTGGACGAAGAAAACATCTACACACCTATTGACGAAGACGAGGTATACGTCTCACGACCACCTATCCCAAAACGGGAACCGAAAACTGCTCCAACTGTAAAAGCCAAGACTAAGTCGGTATCGCCTGCAAAAGATCAGGAAAAGGAATCGTTGTCACCTACCGGAAGTGAAGCAGCGCATGGATACGTAAATGACATTCCTCGAAAAGAAGTAGCTCCTTTCAGCTTCTTCAAAGGGTTTAAAAAGGACAAAAATGCTGAGGTAGTTTCAAAATCGGGTGGGAAAGGGGATCCAGTAGTTGTGGCTGTGAAAGACCTATCAATCGGTGATCTTATCAAGAAGATGAAGGAATTGAAGCTTGAAAAACACGTAAACGCCTTCAAGAAACAGCAGATCGACGGCACTATCGCCTCACAGCTCACGAAAGACATCCTTCAGAGTGACTTTGGGTTCAGTGCAGTAGAGGCCATCAAATTCAGTGAATACATACGATCAGGTCACATCCCTAAATAAACTTCACGAGTCATTCGCGGGGAATCTGTTCACGCCAGTGCTTGGATGGATTTCAAGATATACATATATGTGTGCTTTTTCAAATAATGCTTTACTCTAATTAATGCTTTAAGATATAATCGCAATTTATTTACTATTCTAACGGCCCGCTTGTTTCCTGTTGTAAGAATACGCAATGTATGTACCGTGTATTTGGTTGCTCGAGTATATATAGCTTAAAACACACACCAAATATAAAGTTAATATTCATTGAATAATAATATGACCAATCATCGGAGAAACATGTGTGCATGGTAATTAGCATTCCATCGTTCGTTGTAACATCTGAAAAGACAGAGAGGCATGAAATAAGGTGCCAATTACATCGACAACATACAGCATAACGGCATGGAACATTGTCCACTTTAAGGTTACGTTGTCGCCGTGGCCATGCTTGTACACTGCTATCTGTATGCAACTCTGAAATCTCTCTTTGTTTAAGTGTTCTGCCAGATAAAAATAGCTTGAGTGTGAGGGTAATACGCTTTTCATTTATCATTTTTGTTACAATTTCTGGTCATAGATGATTATAACTTTAACTAAATCTAGCTCAAACAAATAAAATGGTAAATACCATGACGACATACACGTTGCACTGAAGACTAACTACTTTACAGGACTGGTTGTGTCAGTCCGACATCGCGGGAAAGTTCCATGTGATGGTTACATCACTGACGATGCTTAAATAGGTAACGGAATATGTCCATCACAATTTCGATATTGTTTCGTCTAGTGTAAAACTGTTGTATTTTCAGTTCGGCGATTTCCGGCAAGGTTCGCAACTAGTCGGATGCAAAACGACTATTCTATGAGGACATTCAGTAGTCCTCGTTTGTTGGGCGAGCTGTAGTCTAATGTCCAGTGTTTCTACTGAGAGGGGACTTAACCGGAGTCGTGTTGTTTTTGAGCTGAAGACGGCTTTTTTGTGACACAGTAGTTTGTGTATGTTTTACTAAATTGTATGTGTTATGAATATATTTCAGCATGTTTGATAAACTTTTGTGACCAATTACTTGTGCAGCGGACCATTTTGTGACACAAACGTCTGATGATGTTCCGATATCGAATGTATACAGTTCTAATGGGGTATCGGCAACCGTTGTGATATGCATCCACATGTAGGCTGTGATAGATACACGGTTCCATGTATTTTTTGTGTGACAGTCTTTTGATGTTACTTTAAACATTCTTCAGAGTCATGGTAGAATATGTTGTAATCTCGTGGGATTATTCCGGGCTAGAATCGGTCCCAGGTCACCTATGCTTGTGATACGCTTCGATTCAAATGGCTCGCCTGTCAGGCTCTCTCATATGGCTGATGACGTGTTATCGTCCCGCTATGACGTGTTTCGTTGCTCATGTTTTCTATCATGGGTTCGTCGTATCCAGACATGTGTTTTCTGGCAGCGTAATATAGCTGGAATAGTGTTGACCGCGGCGTGAAACAACATTCACTCGTTTACCATACAGGAAGAGCCTGTTTGGTTCTAACACAAGTATCACAGAGGAATTTGTTGCTAATTGAAAAAATAAGCCTCATGCGCGCCTTTAACATATACCGATCTAATTTGCCTACATGCGGTCCCGTGAAGATTCCGGGTGAGAATTGGTCTTCAACAACCCATTCTTGTCGTAAGAGGCGACTAACAGGATCGGGTGGTCAGGCTCGCTGTCTTGGTTGATGCATGTCATCGTATCCCAATTGCTTAGATCGAAGTTCATGATGTCAGTCACTGTGATTGAAGATTGCTACGTGGGCATGACACTTTACAATCTTATTGAGACTTTGAACATTGGACTGTTATTTGAATGTCTTCCCCACCGGGAATTGTTCACCGTACATCTACGCACTGCATGTCCTACCCGGTATGTCATTCCGGTATATCATTTATATGTTACTGAAAATGATTCAATAAATCTTTTGCACGTTCATGGGATTTATATTGTCTTTATTGGCGGGTTGTGATTCTACGTGTGTTTCATACAGTAAATCGACACACCGCAAAGCTGAAAGAAACATCTGATGTACACCAACCGTCCAATTTCTACGGATTCCCGGCTTTGGAGACCTGTATATCGTAGCAAATATTACTTACCAATTGATGAGTGAGTTTGTTCTTGCTGTAGAGGTGATGTTGAATGTGTACATGGGGCGTACATCACTGCCATAAAACAAATTCTGCAAAATTTGCCATGTTTGTGACTACAGTAAACTACGTTTATAACGAACACCCTTATAACGAACGGACTGATATAACGAACTTATTTTTTAGTCCCGGCCATTTGATGTAAATATGCTGTATGTATGCTTATAACGAACTACGGTTATTACGAACTAAAATTAGTGGTCCCTTTGAGTTCGTTATAACCGTAGTTTTCTGTAATTCATATATCTCTGACACAAAATGCACAATTTAGTAAAACAGGAAACTTAGAAAGCTCAACATTCTCGTCAGAAGCTGAGGGGAGAACTTACAGATGTAAGATGTTTTTATGAAATTTATTCGGGTAGAAACTAGAGAAATACATAATCTTATTGTATATGAGTAGATCAAGTAACTTCAAAGGTCTGTATTTGATCTTTATTCGACAGAAGATTAAGTCTATTAGGACTGGTCCATTACAACAACAGGTAACTCTCATGGTTTGACAAACCATCTCTACCGTCTAACAAATGGGTTCTCTGACAAATGGATGTCTATCATTTCAGTTGGTGACATCATCATCAGCCATCTACCCAGAGGAAGTAGATTACCAGGGCGCATATCACTGGCACCGACCGGCATTTGTTTTAGCCGGGTCTTGCGAGAAGCATTGTCTTCTTGGAACCCGCTTAACTTGTGTGATAGACATCGGGTGTCAGGATGAGTCAGTCCATTGTGCTGGCGTTAACAGATGTGCCAAGGTGCTTACACTCTTATCAACAATGTACACGAAACGGGTTTACGTAACCCTGGGTCAGCTCGACCTGCCACTGACAGGAGGCTTTTGTGATACGTGTCAGATAGTGTCTGATTTGTGTGATCGAGTTGTATGTGGACATCTGTGTCTCTACATGGGTGGGTGTATGTGTGTGTCTACAGGGTTGGGTGTATGTGTGTCTACAGGGGTGGGTGTATGTGTGTGTCTACCGGGGTGGGTGTATGTGTGTCTACAGGGGTGGGTGTATGTGTGTGTCTACAGGGGTGGGTGTATGTGTGTGTCTACAGGGTTGGGTGTATGTGTGTGTCTACAGGGGTGGGTGTATGTGTGTGTCTACAGGGGTGGGTGTATGTGTGTGTCTACAGGGGTGGGTGTATGTGTGTGTCTACAGGGGTGGGTGTATGTATGTCTACAGGGTTGGGTGTATGTGTGTGTCTACAGGGGTGGGTGTATGTGTGTCTACAGAGGTGGGTGTATGTGTGTCTACGGGGTTGGGTGTATGTGTGTGTCTACAGGGGTGGGTGTATGTATGTCTACAGGGTTGGGTGTATGTGTGTGTCTACAGGGGTGGGTGTATGTGTGTCTACAGAGGTGGGTGTATGTGTGTCTACGGGGTTGGGTGTATGTGTGTGTCTACAGGGGTGGGTGTATGTGTGTCTACAGGGGTGGGTGTATGTGTGTGTCTACAGGGGTGGGTGTATGTGTTTGTCTACAGTGGTGGGTGTTTGTATGTCTACAGAGGTGGGTGTATGTGTGTCTACCGGGGTGGGTGTATGTGTGTCTACAGGGTTGGGTGTATGTGTGTGTCTACACGGGTGGGTGTATGTGTGTCTACCGGGGTGGGTGTATGTGTGTCTACAGAGGTGGGTGTATGTTTGTGTCTACAGGGGTGGGTGTATGTGTGTGTCTACAGGGGTGGGTGTATGTGTGTCTACAGGGGTGGGTGTATGTGTGTCTACAGAGGTGGGTGTATGTGTGTGTCTACAGGGGTGGGTGTATGTGTGTGTCTACAGGGGTGGGTGTATGTGTGTCTACAGGGGTGGGTGTATGTGTGTCTACAGGGGTGGGTGTATGTGTGTGTCTACAGGGGTGGGTGTATGTGTGTGTCTACAGGGGTGGGTGTATGTGTGTCTACAGGGGTGGGTGTATGTGTGTCTACAGGGGTGGGTGTATGTGTGTCTACAGGGGTGGGTGTATGTGTGTCTACAGGGGTGGGTGTATGTGTGTCTACAGAGGTGGGTGTATGTGTGTGTCTACAGGGGTGGGTGTATGTGTGTGTCTACAGGGGTGGGTGTATGTGTGTCTACAGGGGTGGGTGTATGTGTGTCTACAGGGTTGGGTGTATGTATGTCTACAGGGGTGGGTGTATGTGTGTCTACAGGGGTGGGTGTATGTGTGTGACTACAGGGGTGGGTGTATGTGTGTCTACAGGGGTGGGTGTATGTGTGTCTACAAAGGTGGGTGTATGTGTGTGTCTACAGGGGTGGGTGTATGTGTGTGTCTACAGGGGTGGGTGTATGTGTGTGTCTACAGGGGTGGGTGTATGTGTGTCTACAGGGTTGGGTGTATGTGTGTGTCTACAGGGGTGGGTATATGTGTGTCTACAGGGGTGGGTGTATGTGTGTCTACAGGGGTGGGTGTATGTGTGTCTACAGGGGTTGGTGTATGTGTGTCTACAGGGGTGGGTGTATGTGTGTCTACATGGGTGGGTGTATGTGTGTCTACAGGGGTGGGTGTATGTGTGTCTACAGAGGCGGGTGTATGTGTGTATACTGAGGTGGGTATATGTGTGTATACTGAGGTGGGTGTATCGAGGGATTATGTGTTTGTTCGCTGGAGTGGGTGCATAGCGGCCTCCTGGTGAGCGTTTGACCGACACATGTTTGTGCATGTAAGATACGAATGGTTTTTAACCTAACTATTTCCGTAATGTCGCGTGAGAAGAAATGAATGTTGAATGGCGTGTCAATTCAAGTTAAAGAGACATGTGAACCCACAGTAAACAGGGAGGGAACTGCATACACCGTCTTAAGTCACCATGATAACACCATGATCACACGCAGTAATGACAGGGAACATACATAGCCAGACCATGTACTTATTTACTGTCTCCATAACTTACAGCTCACAGTAAACACAAACAGACCAACACGTGTAGCAACCTATATATAGGAAACGCGCACGCACGCACACGCACGCACACACACACACCTACACATGTAGCTACCTATAGCAGTACAGTAAACACACTAACAACAACACACCTACATATAGTAAACATATACACAGACCTACACATGTAGCTACCTATATGCAGTACAGTAAACACACTAACACCAACACACCTACATATAGTAAACACATACACAGACCTACACATGTAGCTACCTATATGCAGTACAGTAAACACACTAACAACAACACACCTACATATAGTAAACACATTCACAGACCTACACATGTAGCTACCTATAGCAGTACAGTAAACACACTAACAACAACACACCTACATATAGTGAACATATACACAGACCTACACATGTAGCTACCTATAGCAGTACAGTAAACACAAGAACACCACAACACCTACATATAGTAAACACATACACAGACCTACACATGTAGCTACCTATATGCAGTACAGTAAACACACTAACAACACACCTACATATAGTAAACATATACACAGACCTACACATGTAGCTACCTATATGCAGTGCAGTAAACACACTAACAACAACACACCTACATATAGTAAACATATACACAGACCTACACATGTAGCTACCTATATGCAGTACAGTAAACACACTAACAACAACACACCTACATATAGTGAACATATACACAGACCTACACATGTAGCTACCTATAGCAATACAGTAAACACACTAACAACAACACACCTACATATAGTAAACACATACACAGACCTACACATGTATCTACCTATAGCAGTACAGTAAACACACTAACAACAACACACCTACATATAGTAAACACATACACAGACCTACACATGTAACTACCTATATGCAGTACAGTAAACACACTAACAACAACACACCTACATATAGTGAACACATTCACAGACCTACACATGTAGCTACCTATAGCAGTACAGTAAACACACTAACAACAACACACCTACATATAGTAAACACATTCACAGACCTACACATGTAGCTACCTATATGCAGTACAGTAAACACACTAACAACAACACACCTACATATAGTAAACACATTCACAGACCTACACATGTAGCTACCTATAGCAGTACAGTAAACACACTAACAACAACACACCTACATATAGTAAACACATTCACAGACCTACACATGTAGCTACCTATATGCAGTACAGTAAACACACTAACAACAACACACCTACATATAGTAAACACATACACAGACCTACACATGTAACTACATATAGCAGTACAGTAAACACACTAACAACACACCTACATATAGTAAACACATACACAGACCTACACATGTAGCTACCTATAGCAGTACAGTAAACACAAGAACACCAACACACCTACATATAGTAAACACATACACAGACCTACACATGTAGCTACCTATAGCAGTACAGTAAACACACTAACAACAACACACCTACATATAGTAAACACATACACAGACCTACACATGTAGCTACCTATAGCAGTACAGTAAACACACTAACAACAACACACCTACATAGAGTAAACACATACACAGACCTACACATGTAGCTATCTATAGCAGTACAGTAAACACAAGAACACCAACACACCTACATATAGTAAACACATACACAGACCTACACATGAAGCTACCTATATGCAGTACAGTAAACACACTAACAACAACACACCTACATAGAGTAAACACATACACAGACCTACACATGTAGCTACCTATATGCAGTACAGTAAACACAAGAACACCAACACACCTACATATAGTAAACACATACACAGACCTACACATGTAACTACCTATAGCAGTGCAGTAAACACACTAACAACACACCTACATATAGTAAACACATTCACAGACCTACACATGTAGCTACCTATATGCAGTACAGTAAACACACTAACAACAACACACCTACATATAGTGAACATATACACAGACCTACACATGTAGCTACCTATAGCAGTACGTAAGAGGATGATCTAATTAATATCTATTCTTTTGCCCAAACCAAACAAATTGTCAACAGTTGACTGACGAATATTTGTGCCTTACACAATTTACATACTTTATTTACCCACCTAATACCCCGTTCACGTGCTCAATATTTACTAACTTTAGTAATTTTACACATGTGTAACTATACGTTCATGCGTTTATGTAAATTTTCTATGCGTTCACATGAAAATCAACTTAGGTGTGTAAATAAAGTATTAAAATTGTGCAAGGCACACATATTCGTCAGGCTGTTCACGACTTTCAACACAAAACAGGTTATTTTCCAATGAGAAGAGAGTTACTTCACCGAAAAGCTTCGCGTGAAGCAACATGTGTTTGATTGAATTTGTACACAAAGTTTTGACTCCTTGAGTCCAAAAAAACCCACCGTCAGCTCCACTCTGCACCCGATCACTCCCAAATTAGAGACCCGATTCTTATTTAAAACCTTTTCCTCGTCCTCAATAAAGACCTGTCGTAGAGACAATACGGTAGCTATATCAGTTGGTCGTGAAGAGGGAGCCGCATTCCACACGACACATAAACACCAGTCAGGTAAGCCAAACCTATATTTCTATTATATATGTCACCGGACTACCTCGAGTGCTTGTATTTATGCATTTGTTGTCATGTATACTCATAAGTTTAGGGTTGTCCTACCTCAATAAAGACCTGTCGTAGAGACAATACGGTAGCTATATCAGTTGGTCGTGAAGAGGGAGCCGCATTCCACACGACACATAAACACCAGTCAGGTAAGCCAAACCTATATTTCTATTATATATGTCACCGGACTACCTCGAGTGCTTGTATTTATGCATTTGTTGTCATGTATACTCATAAGTTTAGGGTTGTCCTACCTCAATAAAGACCTGTCGTAGAGACAATACGGTAGCTATATCAGTTGGTCGTGAAGAGGGAGCCGCATTCCACACGACACATAAACACCAGTCAGGTAAGCCAAACCTATATTTCTATTATATATGTCACCGGACTACCTCGAGTGCTTGTATTTATGCATTTGTTGTCATGTATACTCATAAGTTTAGGGTTGTCCTATGTAGCCTGGTTCCCGGAAGTCACCGCGCCCCATAAGCACCACGTCCTTTGTCGCCACAATCGGTGTCGTCCATGGGGATACTTCTACTCTGAGCTTTGTAGGTCATACCTGAATCATGTTTAAGGTATAAAACACCAATAGTATCCCCTTCAACACTTGTATTTAACATAAACATCTTACTTGGAACCTTTTGCATCTTATTGATAAATTTAAACCTTTAGAAGGGTAATCACGAGGTAAAATATGTACATGTTCATCCTGACCCATTTCGAAAATTTGCATTTGTAATATAACTACATATTATACTCGAAAGATAATGCGACCCCGCATATTTACGATATGCACCTTTTCAGTATGATTAAACCAGTATCTGTGCCGACGTGTATTTGTGGTGCACCGCGAACACGGTGAACTCATTCATGGACTCGCAGTGAGTTTCTCTCACTTGAACACCTCCCTTTGTGTTCGCGTCTTCTGTCGTGGGGTAATCCATTATGTCGGACAAGTCGGCCCCAGCGTATACACGCAGACATTGATTAATGTGTTCATCACTGACATTTCACGTAATACCATGAAGACTGCGGCATGCGTCAGGATGCGTGTTTAATGACGCGTCTGATGGGTGTTGATAATGTGTTATCAAAACATTAGTAGGCTGAAAACAGTTGCCAAATACAATAAACGTAAGGTCTAAATACCAGTATCAATTACGTCGCCATCGAATAATCATTTCTTGCTTGTTTTAGTTTTAGCTATCGTTATGTGTGTAGTGAGTGAGTGTGTTTTTACGCCGCTTTTAGCAATATTCCAGAAATATCACAGCGGGGGACACCAGAAATGGGCTTCACACATTCTACCAATGTCGGGAATCGAACCCGGGTCTTCGGCGCGACGAGCGAACGCTTTAACCACTAGGCTACTGGCCCATCATGAGAGTATATTTTTTTTTGGCACGGCAGTTTATTTTGATCGCATTTCTATTGACGGGTGTTCAGCGTGACACGTTGTGTTTATGGAATATTTTCGAATTAACACTATTTACACGTGTTCAAAATAACAGTGTTCGGTGATATGCTCAGCAACCATCCACCAGCCATGATTAGCTGTTAATGTTTAATTGAAGGATGATACTTTGCTGATTAAATTGAGGAAAACTAGACCATTTGAAAAGTCAAAAATGTTATGTATTATTAGACAGTATTTATTACATCTCAGACGTTACTTTAGGCTGCGGCTGATGACGCTCGGCGATGGACTCGGGTGATGCATTCTTCTCGGACAATAGCGAGAACTACACTCTGAGGGAATTCTTTGAGGAACACGAGAACAACCTGCCAAAGCTGATACTAGTTACTCAAGGTCAATGTGGCCTGACAGACATAGAGACAGTTCCAGCATATCAGGTGAGAGAGAGAGAGAGAGAGAGAGAAAGAGAGAGAGAGAGAGAGAGAGATTTGTTCGATTAACTGACCACTGAGTACATGTGGCGATGATTCCGAATAAATGAGCTAGTGATTTGAAACAATATTTCAGTTAAATCAGTTTAATGTGTATGAAACACCTAACGTGACGCAGATCGTGGTCATTGAATAACGCTTTGTTGAAACCCATGATGCAAAAGTATGATACTAAAAGAACAAGGATCATTGTCCGGTTGAATCTGGCATCGAACCCACAACCAGCAAAACCAGGAACGCCGAAGTGGGCATGAATAAGTATAAGTCCTGTTTGTAGTTGAGTATGTATTGGTACTGTTCCGGTAGATATGTCCATGTTTGACTGTGAATCTGGTGTCTGCAGGTCATCCGATGTCACACGTTCATTCGACAGAGGCGAGTGATGGCGAAGACCAAACGGCAGATTAACGTCAGCATACCCGTCGATTCACAACACCTGTTCAGAGTGAACTCAGAGCGGAAACGTAAGTTACGTTCTTATTTTGGGCTGTTGGCGGGGAACACCGGAAATTGGTTTCATACATTATACCCATGGGGAAATCGATGTGACGAGCGAACGCTCGGATTTTGTCTGGAGAATACGTATTTTTTCAGCTACAATGTACCTTTTGCGACAAACTCTTTTTTATCAAACAATCTGAAGCATAATTATTTATTTCAAGAAATGTCTGCTACAATCTACCCCCACCCACCGCCACACAATCCCCAACCTAATATGAAATTATCGGTCCCTAATATGATCTTACATACATTCAAAACTTTATCTTATTTTCAGCTTGCGCGACACAAAGCCTTCGGGATATACTGAGAGACAATGTTCTACCGGTTAAAGTGGAATTCGCCGTCGATGGCGACGATTTAATAGCTCTAAACGGAGAGAAGACCGACGTCACTGACTTTGGCTCACTACAGCTCACAGATGTCTATGAAGTAGTCTATCTTATAGGGCATGGCGTCGATGAAAGTAGGTATACGTAAGTTGTATTGAAGGAAGAGTGCATGTAAAGCTGTTGTTATGTCACGGCGGAAGACAACAAAACTGTGCTGCACTTCGTGAATTGAATTGAGTAGGGTCTCCAACGTCACGCTTTAAAAAATAGTTCCCCCAAAATAGGTGACACTGAAAGATTTGCAAGGGATGGGATGTGGTAAGAGATTTATTCATTCCGAATAGAAGCGCATATGCGGGTATAGAAAAACTATAGTTAATAAGGCCCTTAAAAATTTCAAGCGTGATAAATGATAGTGATCATTTAAATTAAAATACGTAATGTGACGATCGCTGCTGAGTAATGAAAACAGCTGTTGTTTAGACGATACATGTACACAGAAATTAAGGGAAGATCCTATTTCTGCCTTATCATGTTGTAAATAGTTTGTAGTAAACAATTTTAGGTTCGAAGATATATACGAACACTGAATCGTTTATGTTGCTAAATTTGTGTCGTCATGCGGGTCTAAATCTGACAGATTATAAGTTATTTGGTGTACAGAGCATTACATTCCATTTAAACGATATAAGTAATGATAGTTCCTTTCAGACAATAACGTTAGTTACCATTACCGATATTTAATCTCAATATGTTTTAAGTTTTTACAAGACAAGCCTCTTTAATCCAATATCTCCCCCTATCATTGAGCCTACGGGCTCATCTTTAGTCCTCGGCATCATCGACTCGTTGTGTGCCAATCAAACCTGTTGAATAACGCTTATTGTCGATCGTCAGATCCATAGATCAGGATGTGAGTTTTTTTAATTCAAAATCAATACATCTTGTATTATTGTTCTATGGTTTAATTGTTTCATAAGCAATTGTTACAAACTCCAGACGAGTGTTTTTAGAGTCAGTAACTATACGCCTTGTGAGATCCTAAATAACCCGTCATTCCTATATTTTGAAAAGCCGAGCTTGACGACACACCCTTCGTGGTTCCACTGTACCTGAACGACGTGCTGCTGTCAACCGTTAATGGCATCAAGGGCAAGTCTACAGGGTACTTCATGAATCTGATGACCTTCTTCAACTCACGGATGGAAGCCATGGCACTTGACACAGTGGCACCAGAAGGTGTGATAAATAAGTATAATTTACCAAAAGTTACAATGTGCGGCCTGACCAATGGTATGCTATCGTTGCTCATGTTATAACCGACCGCCTCCGTGGTCTAGTGGTAGAGCGTCTGCCTGGAGAGTGGAAGATAGGTGGTTCCATCCCCGGCCGCGACGAAAGATGGTACTTGTTGTTACCCTGGTTGGCGCTTGGCATTAAGGGGTTTATAACAACGAGTGGTCGGCTCAGAGTCAGTGTCTGAGTGAGGTATTCATGTTTAACACACACACACACACACACACACACACACACACCTGCATGCGCGTCGCTATATAAGTGCAATAATCTTGGACCCCATTTCACCTCACCTCATGTTATAACCACTTATATGTCAAGCCAAGGCTGATTATTTACAGGATGTAGTTATCTAGCAGAACTATTGCTGACAGAGGCGGCGTTAGCTTGAATTATTGTTAAGCGACAATTTCATTTTCTTATTTGTCTTCTCTATAACAACGACCACCTCAAGCCTTTGTAGATTTTCCGGTGGTGATTCCGAAATAGAATAAGTCCCCAGCAAACTATATACACTGGTTGTAAGACGCGACTTAATGGATCCGGTGGTCAGGCTCGGTGACTTGGTTGACTGTGGCTCATTGTGGCGTGGAGTGTTGCTCATAACATCAATCACTGGTTTGTCAGATCCTCGCTCTGTTATTTTTAGGTGGCTGTAATATTGCTGAAATATTGCCAAGTGGTCATAAACAACAATTAAATAATTGACAGTGAAAATGGTAAAACACACCACGAGCTCCGAAAAACGTTAATATTTGTATTGTTATTTTTTGAATTGCAGACATTGCCATTTACTCCAACGAGTCGGTAAAAGCCCAAGAAACACCCTATGAAGCCGTAGAACCTTACGACTATGTGAAGCTGAAAATGCGGAAAGTGAAAGCATACGCTGGATCATCCATCGGGGGAAATAACCCACAGAATCAAGATAATGAGGAAATATACGACGACGTAAGCCTACCTGGAGAAGATAAAGAACAGTATGCTTCAGCTGAAGCGGCTGACGATGAAGATACATACTACAGTGTCAGCCCGAGAGAGAAGTCACCCAAGACAGGACTACTCAAACAGGCGAAGGGACATTTCAAGACGCTGAGGAAAAAGATCATCACTAAGCGTGCTTCTATACACGTGGACACTGTAAGCAGCGACAAGAAGGGACCCAACTGGTCCTGGCGTTGGCCAATAGCACGGGGGACCCAAGATAATCTATACACCAGAATGCAACAAAAGCGGAAGTCTTGGTCGTTCAGATCTCCAATACATGCTCAGAGCCAGGGGAAAGGTCAAAGTGGAAGTGATAGTGATGACTGCGCCGCCCCTCACACATTTGTGGGAAGTACTGATCCTAGGTCTTTTCCTACCAGGGATTTGAGCATTGAGGAGCTTGCGTTGAAAATGCAAGATTTACACTTGGGTAAATACATGCCTTTGTTCAAAGAGAATCAGATTGACGGGCACATTGCTGTGGAACTTACTGACGATATGTTAAGGAAGGAATTCCATTTTTCGGCCATTGAGGTATTTAAATTTCAGCACTTCCTCAGAACTGGACACATTCCAAATTGAAACAATATGTTCCTAAATGTGTCGGTAGTTTATCAACCACCTTTCCTTCAGGAATGATTGTTGAGACTTTCCAAAAATGTGACTGAGCACGTTCTAGGCTGATGATCACATACCAAGATACCAAGATCCATACTCAACGAATGACCTCAAGTAATGTTATAGAGTTTAATGTATAACTCTCTGATTTCTTCATTTCTAAATGGCATCACCAAGGGAAATTGTCACGATGCTACATGACACGCCACCACCAACGAAGGTAACTGGAATTTTGAATGTTCTAATCAACATTGCCTTATAATGAAGATTCATCGAACGCTTCCGTTGGAGTGGGTTTTCATATTTTATCAAATGAATCTTATATTATATTTCCATTTGTCACTGACCATGTTAAAATGATATTTCACAAAAGTGGTCGAAATTTAATCGACGAAGGATATCAGAAGTTACGAGCCTGGCATATATAGCTATATATAGGTTGTTGTTATGCTTACGTGCGATATATATTAGTTTTTCACCTCTGTGATATGACTGAGCAAGTTCTCAGCTGACAATCAGAACAAATACTCCCTAAGATGCCAAGGGCCATATTCCATGAAGGACTCAAGTAATGGCATGATAGAGTGTAATGTACAATTTTCAATGTGACCATACTGAAAAATGTGTTGTTCATTTCCGAATGACAACATGGCCCTAATACTATCTCTGTGACCGTCCTCCCTGACAGTGAGGATACCATACTCCCTGACACCTATGGGTGAGTGAGTGAGTTTGTCTTTACGTCGCTTTTAGCAATATTCCAGCAATATCACAGCGTGGGACACAAGAAATGGGCTTTACACATTGTACCCATTGGATCTTCGGCGTGACGAGCGAACGCTTTAACCACTAGGCTACCCCACCGCGCCACCAATTCTCAGTGACCACTGGCGCTTTTTTAGACGTCACTTTTATCAACTCGTGTTTGTGTTTTTGATATGAAAAGACACTCGGGTGAGATTCTCTATATATTTTACATTTTTATTCACATTGCATTAGCAAGACCAGTTTTCTATACATATTTAGGTATTCCTGAACTTGTGATTCTTCCCATATACATTCGGAATGTAATTCCTCAGTGATTTCAACATTTGTTGGTTTTGTGTGTTTTTTAATTTCGTGTCTTTTGAGAAGGAAACCAATTCGTCGGAAAGTTACCGGGGCTAAAATATGTCTACTTTTCGACTTCTTAAGCAGGAAAGTTGTTTTAAATCAATGAAGGTTTTGATGTCAATATATTGTAATTATCTATCGCGCATATTCATCATTCCAGGACCTGTCCCTTAACAGAATACGGTATATAAATAGGTAGGACATCAAATTACTCTTTCAATGTTACTATTATTGCTATTGATGCAAATAAGTGTAAAATATATGTTTGCTTTTGACTTTATATGAGGTCTAATTTATGATAATGTGTACACATTCATGTTATAACTGTTTGTTCCTGCACCCGTGTGTCTCCCAGACGGACTCTTTCCGTTCGATGCTCGCATTCAGGCCTTTTAGTGTATAGGTTTTGGTTCACACTTAAAACCATTACATGTAGAAACACCATTAAATATCTACAGAGAATGATATTGTGAGGCTTACATTGTTCCATCACTGGAAGATACCAGAGCTTACGGCCCCAGTATTGTGACCAGACATTTGCGTGGCAGTGGTTCTGTTTCACCTAAAATTTCCAATAATAAATAACTAAATGAAATATACAAGAGGAATCCCACATAGACATTTGACAAATCGCGCCAAACATGTGTATCAAACAAAGTGGCCGCTCTTAACAGAGAGCACCTCATGTCCATTTATGCACATCTTCCTGAGGCAAGGTAGTTAACTGATTGTAAAAATCCAGTTTCCACCATTGCCGAACTAGGCTGGAATTATGGAGATAGATTTTGGCCGGACTAACGTGTCTATGTCATAGTCTAATCAACATTGCGCAACGAAATCGACATCCGGTTCGTAAACTGCCGTCCAGATTACGGTCGATTGCAGGATTTGAAAAAAAAGCAGGCAACAGATATTTTCCAAATCTTGTCAAGTTCTTAAACACAAACCAAATCAGCAACCACTTCGCCGCCCCCTCGGGAAGAACAAAGGACCAAAACGACCAAGCAAGACCAATCGGATTTCGTTAAAGTATTCAGTTCATTGGATGTCTTCCACATTCCGAGTTTTGTTCAAGTTTTCTGCAAAATATTTCGAAACCAAATTTATGTATAGTCTATGTTTTGACGGGGTATTTGTATTTTCATTGCTAGGCAAGAAAGCATCAATAAACTCCCTTTTCAACATTCACAAACCTTCGGTTCTCAATTTCAGCATTGGAACATTGTTTTGAAAAGTCACAGAAATGATGAGGTAGCAGTTCCTGTATTGCAGACTCCTGTTAATCGGAATCAGTATGAGGGCCCCTAAGTGACTTCTCGGGTAATGAAGTCTGAATTTTGGAACATGAATTTCACCAAAATCAGTTTTAACAACTATCTATCAATCACCGACCACCTAGACGAGATTATTTACTTCTAGCAAAGATAGACAAGCAGGTATATATATGTATAAAAAGGAAGATGAAACAAGTTAACGTGACACGTATTTCATCTTGGTTAAATCCAAGTCTCCTCAGCCCCTTTTCCATTTGCATAATAAATGAATACAAACAACATCGTTCTATTCCCGTGTCTGCCCTCATGAACTGCCCTTTAGTCGGGAGCTGTTCTGTAGATTCATATCTGTTAACACGCGAAGCTTTATCAACACAGCGCCAGCAAACAATGTCATCTCTATTCTTGTTCACTGTGTAGTCACCATACCACGTGCCATGCCGCCGACGATGACGATAACTTGAATCTGAATATTCTAATTAACATAATTTACTTTTTTGGCGAAACCTGGTATCATCACTATCTGATTGTGATTCATAAACACAGACTTATGATAGAGTCGGAATCATACGTTGGACTTTTAGCAGCGATTATTTACCATTATGGAATTATCACTGTTTTCACTGATGTTGAAGTGTCATCAGTCGCTTTCGTTGCAGTCGGTTTCATATTTTATAAAATGGATCCTTTAATCTTTTTTCATTTGTCATTGATTATGTAAAAAATAACAAAATAAACGTTGGGCGAAGGAATACCAGTGTGGGACAGATAGTTTTGAAGACAGCCCTCTCTGGACGACCCCCACCACCAGCACGACTAAAGAAAACATTGATGCCATCCACATCCTGGTCCTGAACAACATGTAGGCGCAATACTCTCCATCAGTTAGGAGACCAGGGGATTCTCGTATGGGCCAATAGAAACCGTACTTCTTGAACATTTAAGTCCGTTAAAAGTTTGTGCCTCGAACGCTATCGGATGAAATGAAGGCTTCATAGGTCACCACTTCTAATGCCCTGTTAACCAGATACAACTGAAACCGAGAAGATTTTCATTTTAGGCTAATGGCAGTTGAAGAGACCTGAATCCATCGCTATGACCCCGAGAGCAAACAAGAATCCACTTGTGGAAACACTTTGGTTCTCCAAAAACCAAGACGTTTAAAGCAACCGGATCCACTGTGACCGTTCTAGCCACCTTCTTTAGGGACAGCAAAAGCATAATAGACACCGAACACAAATGTGTGGTGCATATTTTGCACTTCTTATTGAAAAGAGTGCGCGAGTCTATCAAAGAGCATCTTCCCGAGGCAAGGGCGTTAACTGTCAAACTGTCGTAAAAGTCCAGTTTCCACCCTTCCCGAACTATCGCGTAACGAACTAGACATCTGGTTCGTAAACAACATGGATTTCAACGTGAAGATTTCGGTCTACTGTAGAATTTGCAAAACATGTGTACTGCCAATTCTTTCATGTTTTTAATCAAGCTGCACTTGATTTGATGCACTTCGCGGGTTAAGGCCCGCTTTATTACAATACAGATCTCGACTATCGTTTTGACTGGGCGCCGCTGTTTTGTTTGAAGCAAATGCAAATGATATATGAGATGGAATCAAATTTGTCAATAGGAGGTCAATAGAAGGGACACAACTCGACACGCTACGATGGAGCCTGGAAATTCCAGCCTAGTTCGGCAAGGGCGGAAACTGGACTTTTATAGTCAGTTAACGCCATTGCCTGGGGAAGAGGATCAAAGAGAAGCAAAGCAGCAAACTTCGATGTGGTGTTGTCCTCCCATCAAAATAATGCTCCAGTTCACAAAAAAACATGTTGCAATGGCTGCTGTACGGGGACAAGCCTCTTCTCCATCCACATTGTCCACAAGATCTAGCCCCTTGAGACTACCGACCGTTTTCAAATTTGCAAAAGAAAACGACATTTGCCTGGTCAGAGATTTGACGAGGTCCCAGAATTGGTTGCTTCTGTGGAGGGCGGCTTGACAGACACGAGTTTGACTTTCTACAATACAGGGGTAACTCACTCAGAGGAGAGATGGAACAAGTGTACTGCAAGGAGACTATATTGAAAAGTAATAAAATATCACACCAATATTTTAGCTATATGTATGCTAGACTCAAAACGATTTTATACCCCCTCGTAAATATCTAGTGGTGAGTTGTGAGAGTGAGTGAGTGAGTGAGTAAGGTTTAAGCCGCTTTAAACAGTATTCCAGTTATGTCACGGCGAGTTGTGAAATGAATGTTATTTGTTGAAAGGTTGAAAGGTGCTGGAAATTGAACTTATATTGATAACAAATTTATGTTAACAGTTAGCAGAGAAATATCTGCTAAAATGCCTGACTTCAGAGAGTGCTCGCTATAGGCAGAACATATGGGAACTCCTAACTTGCCTTCCACCCGGGTCCGACCCCCAGACTGTCCTCGCTATACGCAAAAGTATTCCTTGAAATGATAAGTCTGAGGCAACTAATGTACAAGATGGACATTTTACTATTGAAACTATAAGCGGCTCGCCCCCAACATTCACAACCACCATCAATACCGCCACCAATCCCTCTGGTTGACATTGTAGTCCGTCCCGGAAGTGCATAACTGTAAACAAGCCTGTAAACGAGATCACAGCGGAGCTCTCTAGGGCTCTAGGGCTCTAGGGCTCTAGGGCTCTAGGGCTCTCGAAGGTGTCAAGGCCAGGGACGGAGTTTGATCATACACAAACAAGGGAAATCACTCTACCCTATGAGCTGCCTTGGGAGTATCACCAAAGGCCAAAGGCCACTTGACATTTTGGGTGCGCCTCATTTTAATTGTTCCACTTACAACACCATCCGATGGTTGCGTCAAATCTGGAAATGTCCTCCACATATCTTCCATGAAACGTTTTTGAAAGCTTTACTGAGGCATTGAGTGTTGTAATCTTGATCAATCAGCTTTTGAGCAAGAGTCGTATGACACTCTTTGAAATCGTCGTATACATTGACATTCATTGTTTGGATTGCACACGTACCGCTGCCGCATATCGTCACATATCAATACGTTTTGTTATGCTTTGCTAACACATGCTTGTTATGCGAACTTTGGAACCTTCACGCTCCGCTCCTCTTATTGACTGAAGGAGGAAGTAGTAGCGCTGCCACTGGTTACGGTTGAACTTGCAGGTAGTAAACATTTCAGGTGATACGTATTTCACACTGACATATTGCGGTATTGGAGACCTGACAGGCTTGATTCTGTTAGAACTAGCGTGCTGCTGGAATCTTCTAGTAATTGGCACTGCTGTTATCTGGAGTCGGTTATTTGGGGATTTGTCAATTTCTGTGTCATATGTTTCTGCATGCTACAGGTTAAAGTAAGTTATTGTTACTGTATATTTCGTTAGAAAATCATCCTACGTTATTTAACATGAAAATCCATATGTTTTTGTATTATTTAAAACAATAATTTTGATAATAGTGTTCTATTGATCTGATGTTTTAGACAACGATTTTTATGTCAACGACTTTAACTCTGACTGATTTGAAAATGAAATGACCACGCTTAACTAAAGTATAGCGTTTGCACACAAATGACAACGTATAAAAACATAGGGACATGCTAGGTAATGTTTTCATTGCAACAAAACGATAATAAACATTTTTTTTTAAATCATTAGGACAACGTAACATAAAACTTTATTCATGTCATTATATTGAAAAACGTTTTTGTAACCAATATTCGGTATATGTATTGTGTACGTATATAGAGGTTATCACGCGAATGTGTTTGGGGATGGTAAATATCCTGTATTAGGAATAAACATCCCCAAACACACAAGCGTGATAACCTCTTTATCATATAATGTAATTCTTTAATTTTGTGTTTGGAAATCGCTTTCTCTCCCTCACAAACATTACATTAACATTGCGAGTTTTCCTGGAATGCGCGCATTAATATTTATTACGTCACAGGGTAAGTGATGTGTCAGTCGGACAGTGACAGTAGCCAATATAGTTCCAACTGAAATCTGTTTCTTTTACAGTGGCGAAGCAAAATATACGCATAACAAACAAAAATTTTACTTGCATTTCGCGGCAATCCATCGGTCTGTCCGCTGGAGTAACTGCCCTTTGTCAAAGGGAAGCTACTCTAACCCTAGTCTATGAGACGTCATGGCCACGATCAGACATTGTTGACAGTCGGCCTGTCCTGTCAAAACGTTAGAAGTGCAATCAGATGTACACACAGCGACAAAACGAAAGAAGGTAACAATTCAAATATATTTCGGCCAAATCCAACTAATTTAATTTGTGGAAAAGGTTTCAAGCCGCAGAGGTCTACAAGCACAGATATGGCTACTGACCCCGCTTGGCTAGGGCTAGTGCCCTCGCAAAATTGTTTCTAAATTTATATGTCCAAAGTTGCCAAAGTTGCCTTAGCGACGTCACAGTTAGACACAGATTTTAAGTATATTAGACTGTTCTTTTGCTTATGAAAGCAATTATCTCTGTAGTTTATCCAGATTCCCGATGGGTAGTTCTGACTCGATTGCCGAATGACAAGGGCGACGCCATGTTTGTTTATAAACACAAAAAGTAGTCCCTACTTGACCTTTGATATTTGCATCTCTATCCGCATATGACCCCAACGGATATCGTTTTTATCCGTTGGCTTTATCCTGCCGAGAAACCTACCCATTATATGATAAATAGCATTTATTGTACATTAGGTACCCTACCCTGCACCTACAGATATGATAGGCCTAGTCCGGCTACCGAGACACAGGCGTCTGGTGCGACTGACACTCGCCACTTCGTCAACGTCGACACCGCTGAGATCGATCCTTTAATTTATAGTGACGTGTCTTTATGGAATGCTTTTGTCTAGTCAAGCTAAAATATTATAGAAGATGAGTTGCAGTTTATGTAAGTATTCCCAATTTATTATTTGTGCCTGCTTGTACTAGTCCGGACTAGTGCAATGATACCATGCCGCAGTTTAACAAGCTTATCTAACATTATACTAACGCCGAGCCGACCTGACCTTGTTTGATCTCCTTAATGCCGTGTGCCAAGCAGGGTAACAAGAAGTACCGCCGTTTGGCCCTTTTGGTATGACCCGGCCTGGGATCTCACCATGTAATGAATGGGAGTATACATGTATTATCTAGAACTGTCATAATACTAGATCTATTCACATACCACTAGATCTATTCACATACCCAAATAGTTATCCAAGACGGAATATGTCCCCATTACCCATGGCTTGTAAAGTCGCCTTATGACTATGTGACCTTTCAAGAGTGCGTGTCACCCTGCCCTGCAGCTGAATTCTAAGACGTTCACGTCACCACCCACTAGTTTGCCTGGCCCACGCTCTATTGTCCTAAAGGCGGCCGTGATAGTTTACCGTATTCACCTTGCCCGGTGAACATGGTGATTGTATTTGACGGAGTCCTGTTATAAATGATACTTCTTGGAGCAGACAAACAGCAGCTTTAGTCAACAGCGACAGAATAGATCCATGTCTGTAGATATTTAACTGTAGCGATACTTCCCATTATTGAAGGTGCAATAGCACGTTGACCCAAAATACCTACGGACGTGCATTTATATAAGACGACAAGATAACCATTCATAGGTGAGTAATCAATTGGACTGGTTTATCGCTCACACTATCAACATTATGGCCCAGTCCATTCCAAGACGGGGATAATGGGTTGTGCAATCTAGTGGTGCATTGATACTATCTATATACAGACACCACAGGGTTGTAGGCCAAATGCAATGGCTGGCTTTCACTAGGGCGGTGGACGAGTGTCTGCAACTTGAAGGTAATAGTTTCTGGTCTTCCCTGGTGTATTCTCTGACTAGTATTTAAATATCATATATTTCAGTTGATGTCGAGAGGTTGAAACAAAGAAATTTCCTAAAAGAAGTGGCCATTAAACTGGGTTCCATTATGTAGTATATTCTGTTTTTAGCCTAGTGTTGCCAAGGTTTTGTAAAAGGGATTTTATAATTTGAATACTTTTTCATTATTGCCTAGTGCTAGAATTACATGTTCGGTAGCATACAAATGTGTCTTTAACACGTGCCCTTGTTTAGTTATTTAGGCGCATTTCACATTGCCATTAAGGTGACATACTTTAAACTCCAGTCGGTAGTGCTGATATCTTTAAGGATGTAAATTATAGTGCTGTCTGACAGATTCACAGAGCGGTACAATAATGGGTGCAGCTCGTGAGACCACATAGCAAATAGTTATGTTGCCATTTGAGTTAGAAAACAGTGTTGTAAAACGATGTACTTTTCTAGCAGCCTTAAGTGGTCTCACATTACGGATATAGTTAGATTAGGAATCAGGTCGACACCGTCTCTTACGGTAACAAATATATACTACATAGTGTCATTCAGGTAGTCTCATCCGTGTCGTGTTCTTCACAATGTAAAAAAGCATTAGGCATGTTGCCAGAGGATGTATATACAACAATGCATATATACCATATAACATTTCAGTATCCGCGAGGCCGGCCAACCTATAGCTGTTTACTGACACTGTAACGCATGTCAGTGTGAGCGGTGTAGTTGCACTTTGTTTCTATATACTTCATTGCTGAGATCATAACATATATTAAATTAGTCCAAGAGGTCGGCTCTTTTTGCAGGGCCGGGATGGAGATGAAAATGTTACAGTTCGAAACCAACGAAGAGGACTACCCCATGCCGGAGTTCTTTGACCGGTACTCGAAGAAGATGCCGATATTTGCAATAGTCACACAGGGGTGCCTCGGGTTAAACGATCTGGAGACATTCGCCGCTGAGCAGGTGAGACGAATGTACTCTCTGTTTTACAGAGAATAGCCTATAGGTTCAGTTTTAACAGGTAAGATCTCTAAACACGTTCGGTTAAAAAAGGCAACATTTGAAAATGAAAATAAACCCTTTAGTTTATTCCCAGAAATTATTATTTCACAAGGTTGGTAGGTTGGTTTGTTGTTTAACGCCGCACTCAGCACTATTCCAGCTATATGACGGCGGTCTGTAAATAATCGAGTCTGGACCAGACAATCCAGTGATTAATATCATGAGCATCGACCAATACAATTTGGATCGATGACATGCATCAACCAAGTCAGCGAACCTGACCACCCGACCACCGCCTTTTACGACAAGCATTGTCACCTTTTACGGCAAGTATGGGTTGCTGAAGTATGGGTTGCTGATACCCCGGAATCTTCACGGGTCTTTTTCACAAGGCGTCCCCTATGCTTTTCCATTGATACATTACCTTATCCATGGTGTATTTGTCAGTAAACGTGGTGACCATAGATACAGTTAAATATCCATCTTCAAAGGTTCAGGAAATTTGTCAAACATGAGAGCAAATGTCATCTGAAGTTTATTGCGAACATAATACGTGACATGCTGGACTTCCTCATCGATAACATCTGTGCTAAAATTGGGGATGATCCATTCAGGCAAGAAGTAGGCATCTCCACTGGCACCAATTGTGCTCCCCGTCTTGTTGATTTATTTCTATATACATTGTATATGTAAATTGGAATTTCTGCTCGGATCAGCAAAATAAAATACTAGCATTTAGGCAAGGAGTTTAACTTAAGCGTCGGGTATATCGATTATCTACTGCCGTTCAATAATGGCAAGGTAGCCACTTCCCTACCTTGATTTACCCAGCGGAACTAGAAATAAAAAGAGACAAGTGCCTTATCTGTTTCATACTTAGATCTATGCACTTGCAAATCAAACGATCTGATATTCTCCATGACCGGTCTACCTTTATTCTTCTGCTTTCGTGTGTATGCGTGTATTGCGTAACCAAAATGTATCCACACGACTGTGTGACACCTTTCAAAGAATCAATTTTCCCTTTATGTGGAGCAATATTTTCAGCTCCAGACTTGTCTACCCTTTGAACCTTTGAAATGCAGTTGAACACGCCTTCTATGAAGAAATCAAAGAGCATCATACAAATCCTGCACAAAAGTTGTTTGTTGAGGGGTGCAGCATTGAGGCCTTAGTAAAGATTCAAAACGTTTTATGGTGGACATAAACGCTCACTTTTCGCAACACGTGGTATCATCACTGTCTGAGGGTGATACATAAGTACATGCTTATGTTATAGTCTGGATGGTGCAGAGATATCTTATGATTATTGGATTTTGTCGCTTTTATATGTCTTCTCACGTTTCGGTAACTCAGAGTTTTAGCAGTCAGTTTGTTTAAGATGTTCGTCTATGTTCCGATTGTGGATCTTCAGGGCGCTTATTTTGATATTGGTAATTCTGTCAATATGGGCTACGTATGGGGTGAATTCAACTTTCCGATCGTCGGAAAACATTTTGTAAAATATTTCTCTGAGGTTGTGTCACCAGAAGACATAGTAACATGGTAAGAACATTTTTAAATCTCCCTAAAAAATCGCTTGCAAGTTTTGAAATTAAACATGACTGTCAATGACATGTTATGTTATTTCTGCTCCATTTCACACTGGATAGAGCCGTTATGTTAGAGGTATGTCATCATAATACTCTTGAACCCCAAACCTAAACCCTAACCCTATAATTAGATTCATATGATAACGTTGTAAAACATAACCGGGCCATTCTTAATGTTTTTTAAATGGAACAGTTTAACATACACAACAACACTGGTTGGAACTTTCACTTACTTCACTCCTACCCCACACAGCCTCTATTCTGCCACAACTACGAGAAGCAGAGACGGGTGGTTGCACGGGACTCACGCGGCAGGACAATCAGCATACCCGAGGAGTACCCTATCAAGTTCAAAATTGTCATATCCAGAAATAAAGGTAAGTGATGGACTATGTTTTCCAAAGATTATTAAGTCATTCATCTCCCATGAAAACAACAATAATTCTGGCCAATAATTCTAATAAAGGATCCTTAACAAAGTCAGTACGATCAGATCCCGTATAGACGAACGAAGTTAATATCTGAACTGTAAGTTGGTAGTTGTTAAATATACTCCATTCAATTGTCAGAACAAGAATTTCACTCCCATAACAACCTACCTTCAATGACATATGCATCTTCTGCAGCATCCACAACCACAACCGTCTCCGGCCTCACACGGACACCAACAAACGCATCTGACCTCACACCCTCATACGTACGACAAGCATAAAGTAACGTAATGTTAAACAAAGAAGATTAATCCATACCTTTTTAACCGTGGTTGTTTCAGTGGGACCAGAACAGACAATGAAACAGATCCTTCTTGAGAACAAACTGCCAGTGCAGGTCAGGTTCGCTGCTCCCTCAAACATCGCATTTTATGTGGGATCTGATCGACAGAAGGCCAAGGACCTCAGTAATCTCGCTCTGTCACATATCTACGAGGAGACGTACATCCTGGCTAATGGAGTCTATGGGCGTACGTCTTAAGAGTTTACGTCTTACAACAAGTGAGTGAGTGAATAGGGTTTAACGCCGCTTTTAACAGTATTCCAGTTATATCACGGTGTGTCAGTTTAATGTGGGAGGAAAGCCCGAATTGATACAGGTATCAGACGTTTCCCTGTTCGGTGAAACCCAGGAGCACGGGTATGGTGCTGACAAACCAAGAAACATAATCGGGGCGAACCGGGATTCGAACCCACAAACATAGGTTTCTGACTCTCCCAAGGGACGCAACTCTGCACAGCGAAATGCGTCGCCTTAGACGATTGGGCCACCCGTGCCCCCTACATCTTACAGGGGAAAAAACCATATAAAAATGTTTCCTTAAAACGTGACTTTACTATACTATGTATTGAACATTCACAACAAATATATTCACATGCCGATACAAAGGATAGTAAAGTTCAAGGTGTGTATTTTAAAGCTTCAGGGTTGAAAATAATATTTTTGTACTTGGTTTCTTATTGGGGAAATAATAAATGTTTTCATGTATCAAAAGATAATACCATGTCCATATTTACTTCAATAACTGAAGGTTTTTGACAGAGAGGAGATGAAAAACAATTGTCATGATCGAAAATTGATTTCAGTTGTTCATTTATAATATAAAACTATAATACAAGCATCCCTCTGCCCAGGTTCGGTGGACATGAGCGTGTTGGTTGTGCCCCTGTACCTCTCCGACTTGCACGTGTCCACGGTGAAGGGCGTGGTCGGTATGGGGGAGGAGGAATGGAAGACCATGTATGCTCAACTAAAACAGTCTTTGAAAGATGTCAAAATACCCCCTAGCTTGGGAAATAATGGTAAGATCATATGAAGCTTCATTAAAACGTATCAGGTCTCTCCAAGTGGAAAAAATAAGTAAGTACATGTGTTTGTCTGATTTCAGAAGCTTTCAAATGCGTTTAAATATGAAGCTTAACATGTAGAATTGTCCCATAGCGTGTCAGCTTCATGTAGAAGGACGGTGAGGCAGGTCGTAGCCGTTAATCACGATGGGGAAAGCAGTGGTATTGTGCTGACAAACTAAGGAACAAAATTATAGAAAAATTAAGATTCGAAATTTCACTTAGCAGATCCTGGCAGGATAGGGGACGCAACAGAACACAACGAATTGCGGCGCCTCATACCATCTGTTATGCGTTGCCTCTAAACAATTCTCCAACAGGCTTGACAATTGTGTCCATTCACCATCTTGGGGTATGTAGTAAAGCGGCTTCGTGCTATGCGTGCTGTCCCTTGAATACAGGTCCTACACGTGTTGTCCAAAATGGGGATAAAACTCGGGATACAAAACATCCTGGTTATTCAAATCAAAAGATTTGACATTTTCCATAACTACTCTGCCGGTCTACCTATGTCCTTCTGCTATCGTGTGTATGCGTGCCTTGCGTGACCAAAATATATCAACAAGATTGTATGACAAGATGGATGATTTCAACTTTCCAGTAGTCAAGTTTCCCTCATAGCATTACTCCACAAACTCCAACTTTTGAGGGACAGTCAAACATCCTCTTCTGTGACGATTTCAAAGTGCGTCATATTGCTGAAAAGGTGTTGATCACGGTTGAAACTTTAAAGGCCTTGGTAAAGCTTTCAAAACGTTTTGTGGTAGACATGTGGAGAACATTTCTAAAGTTAACGCATTAGGAACCCAAAATATATCCGATGCAATTCCCTCTTGTGATTAGTACCATATGTTACAGCATTTTTAGGTGAAAAATTTGCTTGCCTTTGCATGTGTTTGTGACAGGTGCCACCGGTAGGGCAGTATACGCTCACCTTTTCTCGAACACCTGGTATCATCACAGTTTGATAGTGATTTATAAACACATGTTTAATGATATCGTTGGAATCGTAAAGAGAACTCTGCATTAAGCAGACATTTCTTATGACTACGGAAATGGTTTTGTCATATTTATTGGATATATGTAAACACGTAAGTTCATGTTCTTATATATTTTGGTTTTTTATGCCTCTTGGTTTTAAAGCTTTATGAAAAGTACATGCCTACATTTCAGAGATAGCAGTGTTTTCGGAGAGTTCCGTGGTAGATAAAGAGGACCACATCTATTCCTACATAGAGCCTTCTGAATACATCACCTTCTCTTTGCTGTCACAAGACAAGGCCACTGATGATGACGCCACTTCATATTCCCACAAAAGACATCCGCCCAAAGGGGCAATGGTGACCGAGTTACAGAGGAAACTAAAGATCACTGGAACCGAAGACAAACCACAGAAAACGAGTGTAACAAAAATCACAAAGAGTGTCAGTACAACCAGTCAGGATACCAGCTGCAGACCGAAACTTCCGTCAAGATCGAGTTCATTTTCTGAGGATGCAAGCGCCATCAACGTGAGCCAGGTACAAGGGACAGTGAGTGATGATGTTCCTGTTCCTAAACTGCCACCACGCAGAGGTAGCATCAAACAGGTGCCCAATCATCTCAAAGACCTCACGATAGAGGGTTTTTCTAAGGCTCTCAAGGAACTTAAACTGGTCAAATATATTTCAAAATTTCAAAATCAACAGGTAGATGGTCTACTCGCACACGAGTTTACCATGGATGTACTAAAAAGTGATTTCAAATTTACAGGGTTTGAATCCGTGAAGCTTATGAAATTCATTAAGACTGGCCACATTCCAAAGGACTGAAAAGTCACATTTAAAAAAGTAGCAGGTGAATAGGCCACTTACAAACATGTTCAGTGTCATTTTATACCGATTTAAAAGAACTTTAAATTTAAGTTATGAAATCATAGAACAAATGAAACATAATCATATCTTGTTTTTTCCATGCGTTGGTTATGTAACTCCGGGAACGACTTGGTATAAAAGTTAGCTTTGTGTTGCCAACATATCCAGCGGTTATCAAGGAAACCAAATGGAACTGAATGAGTTAAGTGCGTGAGAAAATGACTCATACTAAAAATGACAAAGCCTTTTTTTCAAGGATATTTCTTAATGTTGGTTTAAGAGCCTTGAGTTATATGTTACCAACTACTTCAATGGATTGCGCTGTTAAGTTAGCTAAAACGGATTACATGGTTGCATGTTTTCACTTATTGTTGTAAATAAAAGTGACAAAACCCTTTCCATACCCTTAAGACATCTCTGCTATAGTATGTGCGTGTGTTTATGAATAACTATCAAATTGCGATAATACCAGGTGCTCGCGAAAATGTAAGCGTATCCTAACACAAACACATACAAGCAAGTCAATTGTTCACCTGAACTAACACGGGGACGTATAGTAAAAATCAACATAGGTGTCCGGCACATGATACTTGTCGGGTGTTCAAACTTGGTTGATTTACGTTCTTCACACGACCACACCCGACGGCGTGCTACATGAATCACATGGACAGTTTTGTCAAGTGCAATATAACGTTTATCAACTAAGATTGGTGTCACGTGGGTCATCTCATACAAAACATATGTAATAAATAGCACAACAACATATCTTGTTTAAACAACCTTCTAAGTATAATCTAACAGATTGGTCACTGACTGGTAACTGGAAGAGGTGAAATGGAGTTTAAAGTCTCGTTCAAGATCACTGCACTTATATAGCCACGTGCAAGCACGTGTGTGTCTGCTTGTCCTTATGCCGTGTTTATATTTCCTGGCGTACTGAGATACCAAGCTGCAGTTTGACATGGAAACCCTACTCAGACACATTGCGCTGCCTCCTAGGCCAACCAGTCCTTGTTTTATACCCTTAATACACCAAGAAGGGTCACAACAAGTACCATTTTTAACGGCCAGGGGATTGAACCATCGACTGTCCGCTTCCGGACATACGCTCTATCCACTACACCACGGAGGCGGTTGGTTGATTTCAGAAACACATCCATATGCACAATCATGGCACGACTGCACTTCACATGTACCACGAACTATTTTTACTAGCATCTTCTTTCGTATCACGTTCCGTGTGCACTAGCAATTTACATGCTGGAAATTAATATTCGTAATATAATTAGTCTTGCCCTATCTTTTACGATTTTAGTTATGAAATCATTACAATGTATATAATTTGTTGATTTAAGAAACACATTCAGATACACGTTCATGGGACTGCACCTCACCTGTGCCATGTATTATTACCAGCATCTACTTTCGTATCATTATCCTGCACCCCCATGTACACTAGCAATTTACATGCTGGTTATTTATATTCATAATATAATTAGTCTTCCCTATCTTTTACTATCTGAATAAGGAATTCGTTACAATATATAGCGAGACTGGTAACTGATAGTAATATCAGGAAATACTGTTTTGCCTCATATATATGAACACTTTTCACACATAAAAAGAACAGTAACAACATATTTATATTTAGAATTTGACGTATGCGTACCAACCCAAACAATTCTTACAATTCGACGCATGAACTTCTCCCATGAAAATAATTACATTTGGTTCAACGTATCGCAGAACCACACGGTAGTATTGGCGGAATGTTACTGTCGAACAATTCATATGTCACATTAAATGATAATTGTTTCTATTGTTTCAGAAAATTAAGGATGAAGGGCGATATGTTTCACTTTTCTTTTCGCGTCCAAGTCGTCAAATAATGGTTGGGAGATTTGTGATAAATCGTTACTAAGCAAACCCATTCTACTGAAAAGTGGTATTTAATCTGTATGTCATCAGTTAAATTGCCCCTTCCTGATAAGTAAGTGAGTTTAATGCCGCTTTGAACAGTACATTTGTTCTCCATAGTATCAAATGCAGACAGAACTATTACTAAATAACACATATAGGATACGTTACAGTGTATGAGTATCACTAAATAGTACATACAGAAACAGAAGAAAAAGTGCATTTGTCAGACTTTCATTTGTAGTAGTACAAACCAATTCCTTTCTTCAGCAATAACTATATTCAGTGTTCTACATTCTTACTTTTTAAGTTCCCATGTACAGGTAAAAAGACATTAACAGCTTAAACATCACTATTTCTAAATGACAAATACAGCGTTGACCCAAATTGAAGGTATGTTTTCTGCGCCAGTTGCCAAATAAATACATTTGGTAGTGTTATAAAATTGTACAATTTTTCGTTTTGAGTATTCTATATTTGGAATAACTTCTTTTGCGCTGCATTTATAAATAATTTTCTGGATTAATGCAATAAACAGTGTATTACATGACAGCTAAATGTGGAAGGAAAGCTCGAGGGGATGCAGTCTTAAATGTTTATTACTGTTGAAACCTACAACCACCAGTTTGGAGCGGATAAACCAAGACACAAAATCAGGACGAACCTACGATTCAAACCTACGCTCACATGATTCTTGTGGGGCTAAGGGACGCAACTCTGCACAGCGTATTAAGGCAACTAGAGGACTGCCATCACTACACTTTCTGCTGCTGCACACACTTGCATGTGCGTGGACGCATTATGAACAGCATGAATACCAAGCCTGACCTTAACAGCAATAAAAAAACAAACATAAGTTTATAACACGTGAGCTTATAACTGATTGGCTTACAAGGGGCAAATGTCGGACCTCGGTATGTCGAACCTTGCGCGACCGCGTTGAAACTTCGAGATATCCGGACATTCGAGATAGCGAGGCATGGAGATGAAGCAACAGTATTACAAATTCGTAACGATACGATTTCATACACGAGAAATTGATAGTGAATTGCTCAAAATAACCTGTCTAATTGCAAAATTGGGATAATGTTAGTCTGAAGTTCATTTTTATTTAGTCTGTCAACTTAAAAAAAAACATGAGAGTGTTACTCTCGCCTCAATCTAAATCACTGCTTGGAATATAAAAGATTTTCATTTGAGTGATTTTTTGTGATTCGTTTTCAGTTCATCAAGTTAGGAAACGGTGCACATATTTGCCAATTGTGTACAGTTACCAATCCAACCATGATGTATTTTCTACAAACATATGACGAAGACTAAGTAATAGTAAGCATATGCATCTTTTGACCCGTGAAGATCCGGGATGTAACAGGCCTTCAACAACCGATGCTTGCCGTAAAAGGTGACTATGCTTGTCGTAAGAGGCGTCTAACGGGATTGTCTGGTCCAGACTCGATTATTTCCAGAACGCCGCCATATAGCTGGAATATTGCTGAGTGCGGCGTTAAACAAAAACAAACAAACAAATATATGCATCTCTTGAATTCGCCACAGTACAGTAAACTACGGTTATAACGAACTCAAAGGGACTACTAATTTTAGTTCGTTATAACCGTAATTCGTTATAAGCATATATACAGCATAACTACAGCAAAAAGTCGGGACTCAAAAGTTAGTTCGTTATATCCGTCAGTTCGTTATAAGAGTGTTCGTTATAACCGTAGTTTACTGTATATACATTATTGTAAAATGCAACACGTATGCACAATTTGTGGTCATAAATAACATTTTATGCTTCACGTTCGCGATATGAAATCAACGCATGAACACCGTCTGTGGACAAGTGGAGATGCTCAGCTGAGATCTTCATGTAACTTGAGGGCGTATCACTGTGTTGATATTTGGATAAGCCAAGGGAGTCTAGTTGTCGGCTCAGTAAGAGATAGTTTTGTTGACATACATGTGCACTGGTAAGTTTATATCCACCCTTTAAAAATGCAGACGTACCTCACTTGTGTGTTACTTCCGTGGTGCACAGTATTTATCCCTCTTTGGGACTGACAAGTGATCTAGACGTGCCCCTATCGACTCGGCTGTAACTAGTTGACGCATGAGAATGAATCCGTTGCCTCGTGATGTTACAACGGTGTATGAAAGGATTATCATAAGATGCACTGGAGCAGTGAATTAAAGCTGTCAAACAGGTCCGGACTTTCCAACAAACCACAAACACTGACACAAGTAGACCCTGTGTATAGCGTAAATTACTGTCACCGGCTTCACACATTGTACCCATGTCGGGAATCGAACCCGGGTCTTCGGCGTGACGAACGAACGCTTTAACCACAAGGCTACCCGACCGCCCCTACTGTGAATGATTGCACGATCAGATTACTCAAACTGAAAAAGTCACTGATAGAAGATATCCAAGCACACTCGAGTTTGTATGTTTTTACCTCTTCAGTATAGGGTCGCACAGTAAACATGAACTTCAATGGCGACTACACTGAGTTGCCAACTTCTCCTTTTCCAGATTGTACGCAGAGGATAGAACTCCCTCCGATAGATCAAACAAACCGAATCATGTTGATTGCACAGCCGGGATACCGGCTAGCGTGATTTAATACCTGTATACATTTTTACATTGTAAATAAGAGCGAAAAACCTATTCCCTCTTCATAAGATATCTCCGCAACACGTAGTCCCTTGTACGATTCCGGCAAAATCACCCGTTTACAAACATGGAAAGGCAAGTAAACCGTTCATCTGGAAAGTGCTGAGGGGTTAATAAAACATAACAAAACAGTTCTTCAGGCCCGACCAGCATGTTTGATTGTTTGTTTAACGCCGCACTCAGCAATAGTCCAGCTATATGACGTTGGTCTGTAAATATATCGACTCAGACAATCCTGTGATTGACATCATGAGCTTCGATCTATGCAATTTCGATAACATGGCATGCATCAACCACGTCAGCGAGTCTGACCATCCGATCCCGTTTATCGCCGTTTGTTGCTGAATACCAATTCTAACCCGGATGACCAGCATTGGAATATGCTAGTGTTGTGCAAGTGTAGAGAGAGGATGTAGGAACGAGATGCGACCATAGATGATGGCAAATAATCATTGGCACAGGTGTGGTGCAGTCGTCCCAGGAATATACATGTGATTGAGAATATGAATGAGTATATGAATGTGTCTATGAATGTGCCTATGGATGTCTCAATGGATGTGTCAGTAGATGTGTATATGGATGTGTCAGTAGATGTGTATATGGATGTGTCAATGGATGTGTCAATGGATGTCTCTATGGATGTGTATATGGATGTTCTATGAATGTGTCTATGGATGTGTCAGTGTATGTGTCTATGGATGTATCAATGGGTGTGTATATGGATGTATCAATGGATGTGTATATAGATGTGTATATGGATGCGTATATCGATGTGTCTATGGGTGTGTATATGGATGTCTCTATAGATGTGTCTATGGATGTGTCTAAGGTGTCAATTGATGTGTATATGTATGTGTCAATGGATGTGTATATGAATGTGTCTATGGACGTGTATATGGATGTGTCAATGGATGTCTGTATGGATGTGTATATGGATGTCTCTATGGATGTGTATATTGATGTGTCAATGGCTGTGTATATGGATGTGTCAATAGATGTCTCTATGGTTGTGTATATGGATGTTCTATGAATGTGTCTATGGATGTGTATATGGATATGTCAATGTATGTGTATATGGATGTGTCAATGGGTGTGTATATGGATGTATTAATGGATGTGTATATGTATGTTTCTATGGATGCCTATTTCGATTTGTCTATGGATGTGTCTATGGATGTCTCTATGGATGTGTATATGGACGTGTCTATGGATGTGTCTATGGATGTGTCTATGGATGTGTGTATGGATGTGTCTATGGATGTGTCAATGGATGTGTATATGGATGTGTCTATGGATGCGTATATCGATGTGTCTATGGATGTGTCTATGGATGTCTCTATGGATGTGTCTATGGATGTGTCTATGGATGTGTCAATGAATGTGTATATGGATGTGTATATGGATGTGTCTATGGATGTGTCAATGGATGTGTATATGGATGTCTCTATGGATGTGTATATGGATGTGTCTATGGATGTGTCTATGGATGTGTTTCTAGATGTGTCAATGGATGTGTCTAGGGATGTGTCTATGGATGTGTATATGGATGTGTCTATGGATGTGTCTATACATGTGTATATGGATGTGTCTATGGATGTGTCTATGGATGTGTCAGTGGATGTGTCTATGGATGTGTCTATGGATGTGTCAATGGATGTGTATATGGATGTGTATATGGATGTGTCTATGGATGTGTCAATGGATGTGTATATGGATGTGTCAATGGATGTGTATATGGATGTGTCAATGGATTTGTATATGGATGTGTCTATGAATGTCTCTATGGATGTCTCTATAGATGTTTATATGGATGTGTCTATGGATGTGTCTATGGATGTTTCAGTGGATGTGTCTATGGATGTGTCAATGGGTGTGTATATGGATGTGTATATGGATGTGTCTATGGATGTGTCTATGGATGTGTCTATGGATGTGTCAATGGATGTGTCTATGGATGTGTCTATGAATATCTCTATGGAGTGAGTGAGTGAGTATTGTTTTACACCGCTTTTAGCAATATTCCAGCAATATCACGGCGGGGGACACCAGAAATGGGCTTCACACATTGTACCCATGTCGGGAATCGAACCCGGGTCTTCGGCGTGACGAGCGAACGCTTTAACCACTAGGCTACCCGACCGCCCCATATCTCTATGGATGTGTATATGGCTGTGTCTATGGATGTGTATATGGATGTGTCAATTGATGTGTATAAGAATGTTTCTCTTAAATCAATTCAGAGTCCGAGGTGTAGTGGATAGAGCGTCTGCCTGTAGAGCAGAAGGTTAGTTGTTCTATCCCATGCTCGCGTCATACCAAAAAGACGTTAAAAGATTGTACTTGTTACCCTGCCCGTTGCTCGGTATTAAGGAGATAAAACAAGGACTGGTCGGCTTGGACCACGTTTATTTATACATGTTTAACTGCGGCATGGTATCTCAGTGGGCTGAAACACTAAAATCGGCATTAGTCCGGACTAGTACAAACATCCACACACGCGCGCGCGCTTATGCACGTCTCTACATAAGACAAATATTCTTGAATGCCACGTTAAACACCCTATCACCCCCACATTACCTCCTCAAGAAACTAAAATGTATCATGTGAATATATGTCCTGAAATGTAATAATGTAAAAAGAACACTCATACAGATAATCAACTCTTACTTCCTTACTTCCAAAACTCTATTAGTACTTGCTTGTCCAGTGAACACCGTTCAGTGTGTGATCCGTACTCACACACCCTTTCTACCCACCCCTTTCTTCCCCACCCCTTTCTACCCCACCCCTTTCTACCCTACCCCCTTCTTCCCCACCACTTTCTACCATACCCCTCTCTTCCCCACCACTTTCTACCCCACCCCTTTCTACCCCACTCCACCCCAAACCTACAGTGGACGCCGAGTTGTTTCGGGTGCATTTCTGCCGTGAATACGTACATCGACGAAGGGACCCTTGCATGTGGAGGTACGGGGGTTCACTGCACATACATACAACACAAACAGCAAATATATGTATGACCGTTCCGAGGTGCAGAAACAGACGGAAAAGGGTGACTATTTTTCCCTGTGCTATGACATGTGAATCACCGAGGTTCTATATTTAACCGTCGCATATTGATGTCTACATAGTCACACAGTGCACAGGGCGGGCCTGATCAAGTTGTGGAGCGACAAACAGCAACCCGCTCCTGGTTACATCGGATTGAGGACGCGGCTACACTAAGGTAAGATACATGTTTCCCTCTCATGTCCAGGTGCTGTTGGGTAAAGGTCAATATAGTGGCAAGAGTCACTGACGATCCTCTCTACCAGGCTAACATGACGAATGGGTAGCATAGTCAGTCTGGAGACAGTTATAATGGGTATATGGAACCAGTATGTCCTCTACATGCATTCTTATAACTAGTTTCTAAGTGAATCTAATAATACGTCCAATGCACTAGATAAATGCTCGTAATACCTAGGCTACGGGGAACCCGGAAGTTATTCTCTCAATATGGAGAACTTGCTGGCTTTCATGTCATTGCCACTATGTTTTATTTATTCTGTGGCGTTGACGTGCTATCATCATACGATAGATATGGATACAGGTAAAATGTTTTAGCATAGATTGAAAACGACACCTTCCTCGTTCTGTACAAATGCTAAAACTGCCGGGTCATATTTCAATCCTTGAATCCCTGTAGATATATACATAAAACATTGTATTGTATATTGATAATCAAAGGTTAAGCATAGCCAAGTTTTGTACGTGATAATACCTAGGCATAATAGAGAGGCTTTGAATGCTAACGGGGACGGATCATTCTCATTATTCACTTTTATGACTTTTAAAAAAAGGAAGAGGATAAAACGAGCCTAGCTGAGGAATAATGGACTACCTAGGTCGTCATCTGTACTCAACACATATATTTACACTGTGTAAATACACCGATATTACGCCTCGCCCAATATTTTTCTGTTAGCATAATATGACACCATCTACAGTAACTAAAGTAAAGACACCATTTTGCCGAAAAGTTTACACTGTCTGGTATCTTTATCGCATATGTCATGTCAAAATGAAAACTTGACACTTACAGCCGGTATAAATGACAGGAACAATACATATGTTTCCCATACAACGCTTTAATGTAAACACAAACGTTAACAATGGAATAAATAATGCACTAAATGTGGACTTTTTAACAAGTATTATAGCTAAAGTGAAGAGAATTATAAAACGAAATGCCCAAATGTTATCAGAAATCTTAATAGCAGTGTGAAGCCCATGTCTGGTGTTCCCCGCCGTGATATTACTGGAATATTGCTAAAAGCGGCGTATAACCACACTCACTCACTCACTCACTCACAGCGAACGATATGGAGCAAGACTACATAAGTATGGGTTAATTAAAAGTAAATATGATTAGAAATAAGCACAGCGTGAAATTTATATGGTTAACTAAATCATTACATGTACCATATTAACATGGTTACATAAAAAAAATGTCAAATGTATATCGAATATACGGGAACAAACGGAATTATGCATCGGAGCTTTATGATAAATACATTGCATTAAAAAGCACACATACAGATTATGCGCAATTATGTGATGAATCTAAATGCAGTATAATTATAATGATGATCATTTCTCAATCACGTTATGTTATTATATGTGTACATAACTAACTGAATATAATCTAACGTTAATAAATTGTAATCTTAGGAAATACCTACTTGGTTCCATTGCATTCAAACTATGAGGATTCCAGGTTGGGATACAGGCTCCCAGCAAGCCATGCTTCTCGTAAGAGATGATCGCCGCGAATAGCTGCAAAATTTCTGATGCGGCGTTAAGCAATATTCACTCACTCACTCACTCGTAAGAGATGAACAAATGGATTGAATGGTCAGGCCCAGTGACTTGGTTAATTGTAAATTATCCTATCCCAACTGCGTGTATGGGAGCTCCTTATATCAATCACTGGACTGTCTGTCTGGACCGACATCAATAATCTTGAATACTGCTGAGTGCGGCATTAAACAACAAACAGACAAAGCACAACTGCATTCTACACAGTACATAGTAAAAACATGACTACAATCTAAGGGTAACACACTACCTGTTCATACTACACAGTACATGCTATCGATTAAACACTTCACAAAACAGTATTTTACAGTGAAAACTATAATGTTCGCATTATAGTTTGCAATATTAGTTTTGCAATAAATAAATCATTTAATTTTCTTTTATTGTAATGAGACTAGAAACCTAATTTAAAAAATCATTAACTGGTATGAAGAAAGAACTTCTAAGACCCTGCATCTCGATAAAGTGTCATTCATACTTGGAGACCCCAAGCTGAACATTCTCGAAAACCACCTGTGTTTTATTTTGAAAAAAAATATATAAACACTTGCCGCTATAGATATTGAAATAGAAGCCATGTATTATATCTGATAAAGGATGTTTTTCAACATAGAAAAATGTATATGTAAACCTCAGATAGTGTTAAGATAAACGGAAAATGGTCACTTCTTAACTTAGATTAGATACTGCCATCCTATCTCCTCCTCTGCACCCTCCTTCTTTCCTGGCGCACAACCCCTATCCTATCAACCTCATTTACTATAAACGGTTGGTGGGTTTGTTGTTTAACGCCGCACTCAGCAATATTCAAGCTATATGACGGCGGTCTGTAAATAAATCAGTCTGGACCAGACAATCCAGTGATTAATATCGTGAGCATCAATACACGCAATTGGGATCGATGTCATGCATCAACCAAGTCAGAGAGCCTGACCCCCCGATCCCGTTAGTCGCCTCTTACGACAAGCATGGGTTGCTGAAGACCTATTCTACCCTGGATCTTCATTGGTCCTATAGAAGGAAATTCTTACCATCTCAGTAACCCTTAACCACGTGGTTATGTAAGGGAATATTGTCAATAAAGGTGACAAAATGTTTTTTAAATGTTTACATTATGTTATGTGGTATCTGTTTCACTTTTCAGCAACACTTTACGACTACATAACTATACAATATGTTGATAATATACACACTATAGGCTTTTTGTTTCCCTCTATGATACATTTTTGTGAATATTATTCATACTTTGTGCTATCTTTTTCACTCTAATAATGTTTGGGCCAGTGGTTAAAGCTTTCGCTCGTCACGTCGAAGGCTCGGGTTCGTACCCAACATGGGTACAATGTGTGAAGCCCTTTCCTGGTGCACCCCCTTTTTAGTTATTCCTTATGGAATCTGCATAGCCATTTCATGAAATGCCTGGTAATAAATTTCAGTCATTTCATGAAAGAACTACCCCACTAGTCATTTCGCGTAATCACAGAAAGTTTAAGTCATTTCTCGAAATGACTGATTCCACAATCTAACTGCAACACATATACCACAATCATATCCTATTTCATTCAAGACATAACAGCTGTCAAGGTTCAAAGTAATGCCTTTCAACGATTTTGGAGACACTTTTTGTCTTTTTGCACAGGAAAACATGGCGTCGAAGAAATTCTTGTATAAGGTAGTACAGTTTGAAACATATGAAGAGGACTACTCCATGCCAGAGTTCTTTGACCGGTACTCGGAGAATATGCCGATATTCGCTATAGTGACACAAGGGTGCTATGGGTTCACCGATCTCGAGACCTTCTCCGCAGAACAGGTAAGGCGTCTATGAATTCTCTGTTGAACATGTTAGATGTGTATACATTCTGTGTTGAACATGTTAGAAGCTTAACCATTCTGGGTTGAACAGGCAAGGCGTCTATATATTCCGTGTTGAACACGTTTGATGTCTGCACATTATGTGGTGAACATGTTTGACGCCCGTACATTCTGACGTACGTTATGTGTTTGGGGTAGAGTCATGTTGTTGTTGTTTTTAATTTTTAGGGGCTGAGATTGTTATTTTTCTGTAAAGAGAGCTAGGTTTATTTTACAGGACATTTTAGATTCAACCTATGGAAAGAATATTAAAAGTTTCTCACTGTTCACTTAAACATCATAACTGTACAGATGTATGTGATTCTAAACAGGGATTAAGGGTCCTGCCTAGAGGGGGCTTTTGATTAGACACGATAGCTCTTATCGGTTCGGCGTCGATTATAGACGCCTCAATGCAGTTACCAAACTTACATATTTTCCCCTCTGTCACGTATTGAAGATGTCGTTGATGCCATATATAGACGACAGCCATGGCAACATTTTTAGTGTCCTTGACTGTTGTTGTGGCTTTGGGCAAATACCACTCAATCCAGATACAAAACACAAGTCGCCTTCATGACATGGTTTTTTTAATGGATCGCCTCCCTTTCTCCCTTGCTCCTATGGCATTTTAGCAAACCATTTCAGGCACTAGAAGAAATTAATTGGCTTTACATATTTATATATGTAGATGACATCATAGTACTTTCTGAAACGTTTTCAGAACATTTTAATCACCTCAAGGCAGTATTCTAAAAGATAAAAGAAGCAGGACTCGCTCTAACACCAAGCAAATGTAATCGCCTTCCCTCATGAAAAATGATGCATCTTTCGATTGAGTCATTTCTTAGGTTTGGCTGCGTATTACCGCAAAAATTCTGGCATAGTCTCCCCTCTATAAAACCTTCTGAAATACAACCTTTTGAATGGTCCAACAATTGCCAACAGGCAATCAAAAAGCTAAAGCAAGCCCTTACAATAGTCCCCCATCCTTGCATACCTGACCAAAACAAACCCTTCATCCTCACAACTGAGGCATCTCAAACTGCAACAGGGTACATTTTAGGCCAACTTGATTCTCATGGCGTAACTTGTTAATTCATGTCTTTTGACCATACACATATCTTCCTGTTCTGCTTTTAGAAACCAACAATGTAGACTGGTAACATTGCTTTTGCATGTCAGTTTAGGTTATTGCAGTAAACTATTTTCATTCAAATATATGTTTATATTGCATTTTTTCCGAGTAAGGGTGTATGATGCTCAATGGTCATTTCCCATCACAGTCAACAACTGTTATGGACTCTTGAAATGGAAGATTTGAAATGATTATTAATAAATAAGGGTTACAGGCATACTGCCTCTCATGGTCATGTCTCTCTGTCAAAGATCAAGGCTTTGCTCACGAAATACTCACAATGGCCATATTTTGGTGGATTAAATTGTGCACCCAAAAACAACACGGAAACATATGGTACAAGTCTTAATAAGGAATTACAAAGGACATCATTTTTGCGACTCATGCGTCAAATTTGGAAATGTCCTTCACATATATACCATAAAACGTTTGAAAGCTTTACTGAGTCCTTAAATGTTGTAGCCACATCTTTACATTCTCTGTTTAACAGGAATGGCGTTTATACATTCTGTGGAACGGGTAAGACGTCTATTAATTCCGTGTTGAACAGGTTATGCAGATTAATCCACAGATTGAAGCTTCAATTAAATAGTTGAAATCAGTTCTTAAAATGTTGTCAATTAATATACAGATGATCAATGTTTATTACACAAAACAGGAAATATTGTGCAGGTAGTTATACATTTATTAGATGATTATAGAGATCTTGCTAATTGTTGACGCATCATCACAAAGTAGATGAGTCACAATCATATTTGGACGACCTAACGAATATTCACGTAGTTTACACCAGTAAGCAACCGTGTTCTGTTTTACATATTCAGGATGCAAGACTGTATGGCAAGATTGATGACTTCTACTTTCCAATTGTCAACTATCTCTTAATCTAAAGGAGAAATCATGAGAATATGTTGATCCTGGAAGTAAAATCAACAGATTAGAGTTATTTCTCCAACTTTGCCCATGTTATGGTTAATATAAAACTTCTCTATAACTTTGCAATGTGACCTATAACAGCGTCAGTTTTACTTGTTTAAATTTTGTTCAGTGAATCCCTGGCCCAGCCGCATCAACAATAGCAGAATATCACCATAATGGTTAAGTCGTGTAATATTCCAGCTGCTCCTGCCTTTGATATCTGCATTCCACAACTTGGCGGTACAACATAGCATGCTCTTTCTGCGAAGATTTTAAAGAGCCTCATACAATCCTTGCTCAAATGTTGTTTAATCATGTCATAGCATTCAAGGCCGTAATAATTTAAAAGCTTCAATGACACATGAGTGATGTCCGAGACCCTATTTTGATTTGTGTCGTAATTTCCCGTGTCTTGCTAACAGATAGTTAGATCAGAGTCACAATATGCAAGGCCTCACCAAAGCTTTCAAAACGTTTAAGCTTATGTGAGGACATTTCCAAAATTAACGCAGCAGGGACCATCAATTATCTCCGATGAAATTCCTTGGTTTGGCTTGAATCATATGATTGTTCAGGTCAGTACTTGACTTGCCTCTACATGTGCTTGTATCGGGTGCCACAAGTGGGTCTGGAAACGCTCGCATGTTTGCAAACACCTAGTATCATCACACACTGATAGTGATTCATAAACACATGCTTATGTTTCCTATGAATATGGAAAATGTTTTAATTAAACATACTGGAATTAGAAGATCCAAGCGTTTTGAGTTAATTCATCCGTTAAAAGACACGATGTGATCAACCATTTTCTTCTGGAGATCTTCAAAATAGGTTGTTAACAGAAGCACGTGTCGCATTTGTTCACATCTCACGGCACTCGAAGCCGCGGTTTTGTGTTACACACTTCTTTGTTCTGTGACAGCAAGATTATTGTTCATACAAGTGCGTTTATCTGTTCTTTCCCTCCCCAGGCTCTGTTCTGCCACGGCTACACCAAGCAGAGACGGGTGGTCGCTCGTGACTCAAGAGGCAGGACAATCAGCATACCCGAGGAGTACCCCATGAAGTTCAAGATTGTCATATCAAGACAAAAGAGTATGTAGTGGACGGTGGATGTATGGCAGGCAGTTGAATTATGAGTGACCACAGGTTTCACATGGTGGGAATCTATTTAGGTGTGTAATGTCTATGAATAATAGTCATGGTTTAAATAGCTCAGTGCACAGAGACTCGACCAATTCAACGACTTCCGGATTCTCGGATTTTGGTTTGGTTTGGTTTATTTGTTGTTTAACCCCGCACTTTAACAAAATCCGCCTTTCCTGCATCCATGTTGAAATTAACAATATACATACAGGTTATACATATCACCAATTCAGCAATATTCCAGCTATATGACGGCGGTCTGTAAATGATCGAGTCTGGACCAGACAATCCAGTGATTGACATCATGAGCATCGATCCATGCAATAAGGATCGATGACATGCATCAACCAAGTCAGCGAGCCTGACCACCCGTCTCGGATTCTGACCCACACTTACAAGAATCTAGGTCTCTGGGTATTTAAGGCTTCTATGTAAAAATCAATATAAATATCTCGTAATCATAATGATAATGAGTAAGTGAGTGAGTGAGCTGGGTTTAATGCCGCTATGAACAGAATTCCAGTTATATCACAGCGTGTCAGCTCAATGTGGGAGGAACGTAGTTTGTCACATCAGCCTTTAGACTTGTACCTGTAACATCCACAACATACCATCCACATTCCCCACATCCATATCCATACCCATCGCACCACACCCATGACACCACCACAAGTTCCTAACGACCCGAACCCGAACCACTGCACACACATAAACACCTACTTACTCACAAATGCGCACACACTACACGCCACGCCACACCACACCACACATATAATCATACACATATAATCACACTCACTCGATTATTTGCATACTGCTGCAATATTGCTGAGTGCAGTGTGTCTTAAAGCTTTTATTACTGATCTTTTAGGAGTGTCTCATAACTCTATACGGAGTGGTTCAGGTATATGTGTATGAGGTGAGACTGGAATAAATTGTCTGTCTGTCTGTCCCGCACCTACATCCCTATGCCCACCGCCTAGCCCTAACCAAAGCCCACGCCCTTACCCTTACCCTTACCCCACGTCCACGTCAACGTCCACGTCCACGTCTATCACACCGACAAGCATCACAAAGTACTGTCAAATGATTTATCAATCAAAACCATGGTTGTTTCAGTGGGACCAGAACAGACAATGAAACAGATCCTTCTTGAGAACAAACTGCCAGTGCAGGTCAGGTTTTCCGCCCCCGCAAACGTCGCCTTTTATATGGGATCTGATCGACAGAAGGCCAAGGACCTCAGTAATCTCGCTCTGTCACATATCTACGAAGAGACCTTCATCCTAGCTAATGGAGTATATGGGCGTAAGTCTTCATCCTATGTTAAGAAATAAGGGATCGCTTAAATTTACTAAAGTCAATAAACAGATAGAGCATAGACACTTGTGTCCCCAGCAGATCCTGGCCGGCAACATCGTGGTACTCTCTGCTTGAGGGCCATGATATTAGCCTTGGGATCCCGAGCCACACCTCATGCAATGTTGCAAAGAGTCCAGATTGTGAGCTGCTACGTGACGCTGGCGCACACAAAAAATGCATCCCAGATATGTTCCACCGACTTGAAGTCAGTACTTTAAGTTGACCGGGGCAGTTGCCGGCAATCTCCAACCCTAAAATGATTCAAAGTTTTGAGAACAATATTAGCATGAATAGAGAGAATCCTCCCAGCCAAAGGAGATAATAGCAGGATTACCCTGCTACTTTAAGAGTATTCTGAATGTTCACATCGAGCTTCAGTGTACTGTTTCACACCATCAGCAATTGAATATGTCCTTATGAAATCATTCCCCAGGGTCGCTTGACATGAGCCCGATGGTGGTTCCACTGTACATTGATGACTTGCACGTGTCCACGGTGAAGGGCGTCGTCGGTATGGAGGAGGAGGAGTGGAAGACTCTGTATGCTAAACTGAAGGAGTCTTTGAAAGACGTAAAGGTCCCTCCCAACATGGGGAATAAAGGTAAGACCCTATGCCATTAACTCAACGTGTCGCCGATAGAAGCCAAACTCCAAATTAACATATGAAAGACATGCAATTCAGTACAACAAATTCAAAAAGTAGTTGAACACCACATTTGATCAATTAATGGAAACAAGAATAATCCGTTTGAAGACATTATGATGATAATGTTATAGAGTCTTTGTGGATGTTTAGAAGCCAAGACAACTTCTGAAGGTTCACAGTAGTTCACTTCGACTGATTTTCAGTGATCCATTCATGTAATTTACACAGCTATTTTGCCCTTTACGCCAAATGGAATAGACTGGTTATTCTCTTGCATTGAAATTTATATATACCTAGATATCATGTATTAAATAATGTGTGTAGTAATATGTCGAGATACGATATTGAGGTTTTATGTACATTTCAGAGATAGCAGTGTTTTCGGACAGCTCTGTGGTAGATAAAGAGGATCACATCTATTCCTACATAGAGCCTTCTGAATACATCACCTTTGCACTCCTGTCTCAGGACAACGTCACTGATGATGAAAAGTATGCCACTCCGTATTTCCACAAGAGACGTCCACCTAAAGGAGACTTGGTGAACGAGTTACAGAAAAAACTAAAGATCACTGGAACCGAAGACAAACCACAGAAAACGAGTGTAACAAAACTCACAAAGAGTGTCAGTACAACCAGTCAGGATACCAGCTGCAGACCGAAACTTCCGCCAAGATCGATTTCCTTTTGTGAGGATGCAAGCACCAAAAAAGTGAGCCAGGTACAGGGGAAAGAAAGTGATGATGTTCCTGCGCCTCCGCTGCCACCACGCAGTAAACCGGTGCCCAGTCATCTCCAATACCTCACAATAGAGGGTTTGGCAAAAACTCTCAAGGCACTAAAACTGGACAAACATGTTTCAAAATTTGAAAAGAAGCAAGTAGATGGGCTACTCCTTAACGAATTCACAGATGAATTGTTAAAAAGAGAATTTAAATTTACAGACTTTGAAATTATCAAACTTATGAAATTCATCAAAAGTGGTCACGTTCCACGGTGAATTTGGACGTCTGTCAAGTAGATATTTTAGTCTTTCAAAAACATACGTCTGATCTGATGAGATGGCAGTGTGAGCAAGGCATAATTCATCAGAACCATGTTAGATATACGAGACAATCTCATTCTCTATGGTGCATAGTGTGAACTTCCAATTCTCTGGGCTGGGACAAGATGGAATTGTTTTTACCAACATAACCCAGTCTCTCCCTTCCTTCTAGGCCAAGTTTAACCTGTTTGGTGACATTTTAATCCTCATTTTCGAAGTGTAAACGAAATTTCACAGATAGTGTATGTGTCTTTATTCAGCTAATGCACCGGAAATATATTACTGGTTTGTTCAAAAAAATTAAATGTCTGTTTGGTGGTACAAATAAACAAAAAAATATATACACACAGAAAAAGGTTAAGCACCCCCTGTATATTCTACAGGGCATTGAAACCTTTATAACACAACCTCGGAAAAACGAATATGGTTTGCAGGACAATACCTCTGACAATAAGAAAACATAAAACCTTTATCCTGTTTTGAGATTTTTTATCATGATTCTAACAAAAACTCAGAGATGATTCAAACACTTAGTTACATCCTGCCAGTGGAACATATTCAGTACTTGATCTGTCTTTCACAGATTCAAACCTTTTTAACTAATGTGTCGGGTCGGTCCGTGGTGACCTCTGTGGAAGCGATCATTTCCCCACCATTCTTAAAGCAATCTTCATCTAGATGACAGTTTAACACGGCCATTTGGTCAGTATATGAACTATTATGAACTGTAAACTTAACCCCTGAACAATTAAATAAAATGAAGATCCGATTCAGTTGTTTTCAGATCCGTTCAATGAAAATAACAGATGAAATAATTCCAAAGTCCTCTGCAAATTGTTACATTCTTTAACCATGGTTTAATCATGAATGCAAAAAGGTACGAAAGTGTAGGAACAAAGCGGTAATGCATTTCTGCCGACATCAAGATCTTCTGTTCATCATCTTAAAGAAGGTGATAAATTATTAAGTGATAAAAGTGACATCCCCCGTAAACTAGGTCAAACACTTGCCACAATCTGCTACAAACAAGTTATTCTTTCAGCACGAATATTAAATTATCCAATATCCAATTAAGATCAAAATACGATTCTCACCGATCCATCATCACTGGTGGATCAAAGGATGGTGCCAAAGTTGCAACTGGATTAAAAATTATTTCTTCCAGATTACACGACATTAGCTCACTATTTACTGCTGAAGCTAAGGTTAATCAAACATCCTTGAAATATGTTCAGAAACAGAATCCATGAAAACACTTCATCTTTTTTATTTATTCGTGTTTTGGTATCATCACTTTTTGATAGTGAAACACGTGCTTATTATATAACCGGAGCCCAACAATAGACTCTGCTTTTAATAGAGATTTCTTATGATTATGGAAATGTCTTTGTCATTTAAATTTCTAGACATGGTCAATCCCCCGGGCACACCAGAAAGCTGTGATCGTGGGTTCGAATCCCGAATTGTCCTGATATTGTTTCTAGGTTTGTCAGCACCATAACCGTGCTATTTGGTTTCACATTGTGCCTTTAACCATATGAGCTTGAACAACAGGAACCATGGACGTTTCAGGACACAAGGAAGACACGTGAGAGTTTTACTGAAAGGATGCCATGACATTGCCGTGTATCAAGCTTAAGCATCACAAATCATTCAATGCATATACGCAACTCAATTTGTTGGTTTATATTGATGTTTATGAAGTCATGAAATCACACAAACCAATGTTAGTCTGAAAGAAAGTTGTTAAGCCCTGAAGCACGTTGCACGTGAACATGACGATAATATTCATAAACTTGGATCAAGGATAATATTTCAAATGAATACATTTCAGAAGAATGAAAGTGATCTTTAACGTAAAACAACTTTCTGACGATGAAGTCGCAATACATTCTCCATCTACATTAAATCCGTGCTGAACCTCCGTAGGACGAAGGATTGTTCTCACCTGCCGGGCAAAAGAAAGTATACACCCATGTTTGATGCTGACTAAAATGAAACAAACAAGAAATGGTTATTCAATTGTGATGTATTTGATACGGGCATCATAGTTGTGGGTTGGGCCTTAGGTTTTCAGATTTCGGAAACTCGCTGACTTGGTTGATGCATGTTATCGTATCCAAAATGCGTGGATCGATGCTCATTATGTCAATATCTGGAGTGTCTGGTCCAGACTCGATTTTTTACAGACCGTGGTCATATAGTTGGAATTTTGCTGAGTGTGGCGTTAAACAACAAACAAACAAACAACAAAAGTAGTTATTGGGACCGATTTCAGTGAGTCCACGTGAGGCTGTTTTAGCCTCGAGACAGTAGCTGTGCTCAGTCTGGGTGTTGCTGCTAGAACTAGTCCGGAATAATGCCAGTTTTATAGTGCATGCCAAGTGAAATACCATGCCGCACATTAAGATGGATACCCTACACATTATACTGACTCCGAGCCGACAAGGTCGTTATTTTATCCCCCAAAGCCAGGCTGGATAAGAACAACTATCGTATTTTAACTGTCTTTTGGTGTATCGCGGCCTGGGATCGAACCGCCGACCTTCTGCTCTCCGGGCAGACTACGCTATTTAACCTTAGGGTACTACTGTTAGGAAAGCCAATGTTACTATCATATAAGAGACTTTGGGACTGGTCAGTTTTTATAGGGGAGGGTGGGTTGTTCAGATTAAGCGGGGATCATGAAAAAATTACACAATGAAAGAGGACGGGGGGGGGGTGGGGGGGTCGCCGAAATTTATCAGAACACAACTGACAAAATGACCCCGTTCTTATTTTTTCAAATAAAGAGTTACATGTATTTTGGGTAGGCCATGAAAAATACAATGTGGAGAGGGCAGCAAAATTCGGGACACCCCTCTCTGACCCCGGATACTAATTAGTAGTCCCTTAATTCGCTTAATTCGTAAACAACCGCCGTTATTTAGCTTGAATTTTGCCGAGTACGTCGATAACCAACAAACAAAGTAACAATAATGATTCGCAAACCTGTTTTCGTCCGCCATGTTGCAGGTGGATATGTAGGGATTCGAACCAACAATCATAGGTTTCTGGCGTGCCCAAGGGACGCAACTCTTCACAGTATTTTATCAAGCATACATTGAATTGATGTTTATAGCTTAAAAGTAGTTCATGATAGGTTACCTCATGAGCTTATTATCGGCCCGTGATGTCACGTTTAACGGACTGGTTCATCGCATCGCAGCTACATGATAAATCCACATGTCGATGGCCTTCATATCGATGCATATAACAATGGTTGCCGATAACGCATTACAACTTTCTACGTTCGATATGGGAACATGTTTTTTTTCTCATTCACTGATGCAGGACTGCGATCCACCATCAACTGGTTAGCCACTTCATAGTTTAATGCTAACTTGTGGTAGGCTGTCGTATTTGGCTGCATCAGTGTGACATTATTTCCTACAGGTATTCCTCGAAATAGTATACTAGGCCCCACAGCTTGATGCTCATTTCAAGCAATACATTGTAATTGATGTCATGTGTGCATTTGAGAATAAAGGTCTGTGTCATTGGGATAATTATTAACTGCTATGGACTCTCATTTCAAAGTGTTCTAAGGACCACCACTTTGAGAGGTAATATGTCCAATTGTGTGCATCTGTTCAAATAGCCAAATAGCTCCCTCATCTTGCTGACGACGTCTCGACAGCTGCTCGCAACACAACTGCAGAGAAAGATAACTGAACTAGAATGTTTTTGTAAACATACTGGCATGAAAGTAAATTTGAATAAAACTAAGCTTATTGTGTTTTAAAATGGTGGTCTCTTAAGGTCATATGGAAAGCGGTTTTATGATGGTACACCTATAGAAACAGGATATCTCTACATTCATACCTGAGACTTGTACTCACCCCTTAGTTAATCTGGAGCAAAGCTCAGGCCTGTCTTGTTTTTCCAAGCAAATAAGGCAATATTATCAGTTAATAATTACCAAAAGGAGGCTTGGTAACATTAGTTGTCCAGATCTATTTGAGATATTTAATTGTATGACAACACCTATTCTATGTTATGGTTCTGAAATATAGGGCACATCTTATTGTAATACTATTGAATATGTACATATCAAGTTTTGTAAATCTAGTATAAAGGTTGGTAAATCAACTTGTTATAACATGGTTCTAAGAGAATGTTAAGGAGTGCCTTTGCGGTTTGTACTTATGACAAAGGCAATTAAGTATTGGTGCAGAATATAACATTTAACAAACAATAGGCTACCAAAACAATGTTATATTATGTTAAAATCGTTGGATGATGTAGGCCGTTATAAAAGGGCAACACAAATAAGAAATATTCTGTTTAAATTAGAAATCTTATAAAGGGGCGTAGCCCCCGAAATGAAAGTATAATTTTACGAAGAAGCCAAGGTAAACCAAAGTAAGACTTAAACAAGTTATCTCCCTTGGTTCGCGTATAATTCGAGCCGTTCAAAGTGGGATCTCGCGTAACGAGAGAGAAACGCCATCTCTCTGTAGGTAAAGCAAGGCAAGACGTTTTCAGCATCAATCCCATCCTAGCGTTTTTGAACGTTGTTTTTTCAGTAGGTTATGTTCTGGGTGCAGGTTTTGATACCAGGATTAGTTTGGATGTGTTTGGTTATCTTGTGAGAGATCATGCCACTTTCCCAAGGAGAACTTAGCAATTAGCGAGACCGCCGGGCACTGTCAGTCAACGGCCACAAGGCACATGCAAGCACCCAAGAAGGAAACGAAAGCCAAAAGCCACGTGTAACTAACACAGTCAGGAAGAGAAAGTGAAAGTCACATCATGACAAAATTTTCCTCAGCTATGTAAACAGTCTAAGCCTTGCAAACATATTCTCAAACGGGATGACGTGGTGACATACTCGGAATATAGTGGTTCGTCATGTGGGTTTCTTAATACAGTGAATATTATGAATAAAGTAGGCACAAATTATGGATAACAACTTCTTTATTTACTGGAAATGCAACGGGTTAGATGCCTATACCTAAAAGTCGCCTTTACAGTAAATAGAGAAGTTGTTATCCTTAAATTGTATCTACTTTGTCATTCGTCAACTCCGTAAAGTAATGCCTATCATTTAAGTTTATCAACGTTTCAGACCAGACAATGACAATGGCTTGCAAATTACCTTCTGGCATGAAACGTTATGTGGATAAACCGAGAATATATCAAGGTAGAGGACATAAAATCCTCAGTCTTGACAGAAAACCCAGAGATTGATATTCTCAAAGCCCCTGAGCTGGATGACCAGTGGTCAGACATTCTTCAGACGAACCCAGGAACTAAACATTTGTGAACATCCTGTTCTAGGTTTAGATGTTGCAATTTCAAGCATGCTGTTGAGACTGGCAGATATGAAAATATGATTTATTATGAAAGATACAAATTGTAAATATGATATATAATGCGCATGTATGATCATATTTTGTGTGTATTTTGGGCCGGGGGCCTTATACTGAATACAACAGTCTGTATGTCTGTCCGTCTGGACAGGAAATACGCTAACATGTTACTTGATTTTCTGGTCCATCACTTGATTTGGTTTGGTTTGTTTACAGGACGCCGTCAAACAACAAACACTTACTTTTGATGCAAATCGTGAGTAGGCGGTTGCTACCGATAGGGCAGACCATAATTTCATCGCTATTTTCCCTTTTACGCCCAATAGAATCTATTTCGGCAGATGACTTAGGCTGATTATTCTCTGGCGTTGATGTATTTTTAATCAAAGAGCGTGAAACTTTTCTCAGTTACCTCTGTGCCATGTACGTTCACCTTTTCGCAAGCACCTGGTATTATCACTATTTCTTATGATAACAGAAGTATGTTCTCGCTCTAACTTATAGATATGGATGGATTTCTTAATGCTATATGCGATATGACCCGTGAAGATCCGGGGTAGAATAGGTCTTCAGCAACCCATGCTTGCCGTAAAAGGCGACTATGCTTGTCGTAAGAGGCGACTAATGGGATCGGGTGGTCAGGCTCGCAGACTTGGTTGATGCATGTCATCGTATCTCAGTTGCGTGGATCGATACTGATGATTGTCAGTCACTGGATTGTCTAGTCCAGACTTGATTATATACACACCGCAGTCATATAGCTGAAATATTGCTGAGTTGCTGATATGTATAGCCTATATGTATATTGTTAATTTTGTTAAATTTCGCTCAATACAGATTTTGATTTTGGTTCATGAGGCTCATATTCAACACAAAGTAAATAGAACATACATTGTCCTTACAGCCAAATGAGCCTAAACAAGAAGAACCATGGACGTTTCAGGACACAAGGGAGTCACATGAGCGCCTTGGAGGAACCACTTTATGCCTAATACTGACATTGCCGGTGTGGCAAGCTCAAGTATCACAGATAACTCTATTCATATACACAACTAAATTCATGTATACGGCTCAATTCATATACACAACTCAATTCATATATACGACTCAATTTATTTAGTTATTTAGGTCATGAAATAACATTAATCAGTGTAAGTCTGAAACAGCAGATAATTTAAAAGGAAAACGTCCTAAGCTCTGAACGAAGTTACACGTGAACAGGACATGATATTAAAAGCATTCATAGGTAATCGAGGATTATATTTCAATGAGTTGTATTTTCGAAAAAAATATAGTTAATTCGAATTTAAAATAAATTTCCAATGATGAAGTCGCCATACATTTATATCTACAATAAACCTGTATCATAACTCCGTCGTACGAAGAGTGTTCTAAACTGCCGGGTAAAGGAGAGTATACACCCATGTTAGATGGCGGCTCAAATGAAACAAACAAGAAACGGTTATTTGATGTATTTGATACGGGAATCACAGTTGTGGTTTGGACCTTAAGTTTGCAGTGTTCCAGCTACTGGTTTCAGCTTAGAAACATTTTGATAACGTTTATAAATTGCTTGGTCAAATATAATTTTCAAGTGTATACTCTCTTTTGCCCTTCAGTTTATTTACTCAGTAATATTGTATGGGCTGTCTTACTGCTAGTGGCATCTCTCAGCGCCATATATATGTCTTGAATATAATAACTTTGACTGAATGAATGATAGAAATAGAGCCTTAAGCCTGATATGGATATTTCTGAACATTAATAACATTAAGATTACGATAACATCCTGGTAAACATGAATACATAAGCAAGAAAAGGATGGACACAACGGATTTCATCTTTCTAAAACACAGAATGACACAGTAATTATTACATAAAATGACATTTTCAGTTTGGCTTTACTGTATGAAAACGGAGTTCCATAGCACCCTTCGCCCTGTCAAGGTCAGAACGGCCATTCAAAAGTCAAAACGGTCATTGGTCCAAAGTCAAAAAGCCAAAAGCGGTTTATTCTTATTTTTATTCCAAAATTTGTTTCGGGTTTTTTGCGACGTCTTCACAACTGAGGTATTTTGCTATTTGTTCCAGACGTGCATGCAGTATTCACAATACATTGTTTGTCTCCATACTCCTCAGACCAGTTAACTTCAATAAAGAAAGTTACATGTGTCATATGAGTTAATCCTCAAACCTTTTACTGCAAAGGACGAGCTTGATATGTTTGGCTCACCTTTGTACATAAGTCAGCAACATCTAATAAAGATCTACTGGCATTGCTGCGTAAGACATTAATTGTCATGGCCGTTTTGACGTGTAGCCGTTGTGACTAATGACCGAAAATGCTTGCTTAGTGGCTTGTGCGAGTCAAATCTCAAACTACGCTAAAAACGTATCTTATGTTATTGTCCCTATAATATTCTAAACTTGCATCATGATACGGACCCGCCACCACTCAAGCTCACTGGAACTTACATTTCAGGTGAGCTAACATGTAAGCAAACAACGTCTATGCAACCTTATACACACACGTGCAACGACGCACCCCATTCTGCTTTTCTACTACGTATTGCTTATCTACCAATTTCCACATCCCACGGGATTCCAGGTGAGCCAGATTTCCTTTGATGTCATCACTGTCAAAGATGTAGTCGTAGTGGTTAATCAGGATGTGGCCACCTGCACACGGTAAAGGAAAGACTTGTAAAATGAGTGAGTGAATGAGTGAGTGAGTGAATGAGTTCGGGTGATTGCTGCTTGAACTCTATTTCAGTAATATTTAGTCAGATTAATGTTGGAGGAAAGCTCAAATCGAGACTTATACCTCTTTATTGAATTAATTGTTTGATAAAGTTCAACAGACCATTTATAATCCCTAGTTTAAAGAAACGTAACGGCTTAACCGAAACCCCAAACGTAATGTTGTGTGCCCTAAAATCACTGGTAATATGAAACGTAATGGTTTATGGCCTTAAGTACATGGTATTATGAATCGTAATGGTTGATGGCCTAAAGTACATCGTATTATGAAACATAATGGCTTATGGCCTAAAGTACATGGTATTATGAATCGTAATGGTTTATGGCCCAAAGTAACTGGTATTATGAAACGTTATTGGTTACGAACACACAATGCCATTTAGAAAGTGGTCAAATGTAACAAATGTTATATTTGGGATAACACTTTCTTGGTAAAGTACAAATTCTCGTACCTTTTTGAGGGTTGAGTCCGTTACGGGATTCGGACACACACCCGCAAGGGACTCAACACAAAAAAGTGCGAAAATTTGTGCTTTAACAAGAAAGTGTTTTCCCAAATATAACATGTGTTACGTTATTGGTTATGTCCTAAAATCCATAGTACTATGAAATGTAACATTGGACAGTAACATTGTAACAACAAAACTACAGCCAGAGCATTATACTTTGATGTCAAAGTGAAAATAAATCACACGCTGTCGATGTCGTACTACAAACCTGATTTCGTGATACGCACAAGCTCCTCATAACACTTGATGGACAGTTTCTTCAAGATTTCAGAAGTTAAGCTGACCAATGTCAATACCGTGTATGTGTCTGAAATTACCGGAAAATAAATACAGATGAAATAAATAAACACTAATAAAATAAAAGCCTGTATATATAATAGATACAACATGACAATACATATTACCTCTAGGTAACATCATTTTTGAAAATAATAACCCCTTAAAAGTCATATCATTACTTGCCAAACAGTTTATTTATGAACGGAATAGAAAACAAATAAATCCCACTTTCCACTCATTCAGTAAGAAATAGTAAAATATTTTGGGGGAACAAAAGACATTGCTATTTGCAATTGTGATCAGAGCACATGGTATTCCTTTTGGTCATCGTTACACATTGTATTTGCAGATCTCTGCAGTTGACAGTTGAAAATGTAAACACGGACTGCCTGGATAAACGTCAGGGCAAAAGACCCTCCGAAACATGGTGAAATATTATCCTGCCTTCAAAAGATTGCAAACTCAAGCAGAAAAACCTGATACGAAGCCGAAAAACTAATGCAGGAGACAGACAGACACTAATGCGTCACAAACAACATCATAACACGACAACAATGCATAATTTATAGCGCGGTGTACGTTAGAGTTCTTCTTCTTATTGTTGTGTATTGTTCAAAGAGACTCCCCTATGTCATGTACACAAAGAACATTTCATGTTGAATCAAAAGATACAAACAGATTGAACAAACTGACAAAACATGCATTGGCCCAAGTCCAAGTTTAGCATCGTCAAAGACTTCAGGCGACTAGAGATAGATACAGGATGAATGATTGTCCATCTACAAATAACTTCTCTATTCATCAGTAACATTAGTGCAGTGCTCCATACATGGACTGTAGCTTTGGAAAACTTCAACTGCGTCTTCCATTACCGTCAGCAATGTCCAGTGTGTTGTCCCCAAGAAAATCACAGATGTATCGCTCGTACAAGTTACTTTTCTTGGCCTCTTCAAGCATTCCTTCAGACGGATCCAGGCCGTCGACATGTACAAACCCACGCTTCCTTACCTGAAACAGAAAGTAATGTATTGTTCTTCTGCGTGTGGCGAAGATAACAATACAAAGTTACATAGATGGTATATTGTTCCGACCAGCAACTATTCCATTTGAAGATGACAATGCACAATCTGGCAATGATGGGTGAGTGAGTTACATGTTCACGTGGCATCAACAGTATTGCAGCCATATCGCGATTGGCCATGATGAATGGATATACGGTTATGTGAGATTGAACAATCTATACCATTATTGAATACTGTAAAAGTCATCAATATTCCAACTATATCACGGCACACCGTAACTAATCGAGTCTGGACCAGGTAAACCATTGACCTGGTTATCGAGTCTGGACCAGGTAAACACGATCCACGCGAATTAGCCAAATCATAAAGACTGATCACCTGATTCTAGTGTTAGTCGGTTCTTGCAACAAGCTGGAGTACTGGGGATATTTTGTAACCTGGATACCCTGAGGGAAACACCACTTTCAACGACATGTATCGAAATGCATTCGTTATAACACCCTCTAAGCTCTACACAGAATATTCATCTTTGTGACGGAACCTACCTCTACGGAGACCAAACCGGTGCCTGCAGCGGCATCCAATATCTGGACATTTTCTCGGTTGCTAGGATACAGAGAAGCCAGAGTGTCCGCAATCGCTGTGGGTGCCTTGTATCCACGAACAGTCTGCATCTAAAAGCAATGTCAGTGTGTCAACAAAGAGAAACAATTTGACATAAATCTAAGACTAGAAAGGTGTTTGGATTGCATCTGAACTGTGCCTCTACAAACCTGACTAACAAAGTTATAAACACTTCTGATTTAATGACATCACTTCCGGGTTGGTGTAATTTAAGAAATCTTTAAAACAAATCCTGTCGTGAAAGCTATCTTAAAGACAAAGTTATTAGACTTCCGGTTGCATAACATAACTTCCGGTGTGGGAAGGAATTCCAGTAAATCCTAGGCCATAATGAGAAAATGTATATGCACTTCCGTTTATATTACCTTGACAATCAATATCAGCGAATAACATAGCTTGTTTGTTTGTTGTAAACATGTATTCACCACTGTGTTCTTGTGATAAAATGTTGGAGGAGGAAGGTGGGAGAGGTGTTTCTCATGTGTCTGACATGTTTCCGTTTTCATTATTATTTAAAACTGTTATAAAAAACAGATGTATATATTTTACCGCAGATGTCCATTAAAGAAATTCCTCTGTATTGCTTTTCTTGTGAAGTGGGAAAATTATACTTTTAGACCAATGCCATGGAAAACCATCAGATTAGAAAATACTGTTTAAAAAAAAACATGGTTGTAACACATCACCTCCATGTTTCCACATTTCAGGAAGAATTCCACCAGGGCCAGCGGCTTATCCACACTTTAAAGAAGTCAACTTCTGCTGTAACTATTTATTCGCTTGATATCTCTCTATTTAGAGTATTATTAGTGTCCTCATCAATATGAACAGGTATATGTTGTGAAAGGTAATGTCGAGAAAAAGAAACAAGTCATCACCTAACATTTTATCCTGAATATTCAAAATACTGAATATTGTAACATCACTGAAAGTGTACACACAAGATTCTGTAAATCATTTCTGAGAGAAAACACGTACACTTATATCAATGTGGTCCAGGGAGAATGTGGCAGAGTATCCATGTGGTATCGATATACATTCAGAGCAGTTAAGTACAGGTGCACACTGATCCAGTTGCCACGGCATAGACATCCCCACCAAGCATTTACAATGATTAAAACTCTTGATGATAATGGTAAAACTACGTGGGCATCTCATATGAGAAATATTTTATTTAGATAAGTTTTGGATGTATATGGCTGTCTCAAAACATTGGTTGCATCTCATCATTAATGGTAATTTTCAAACAGAGATTTTATTAATGTTTCTTTCAATATTGGCATCACTCACTCGACGCTTCATCTAAATGTAATTGTTATTCTCTGTTTAGATCTTTACTAAATGTAGAAACCTATTTAACTTATGAAAATATTAACCATGATTCGGTGAAATAACTTTAGACTTGCTGTTGAAAGAGGCCGCCATATTGTGCTCCGTATAACGAACTCTTCTGTTTATTTTGCCATGCTAGAGGCTTTGAGTATGTTATGAATGAATTACAAGCATTGTTGATATTTGACAGCTATATCCAACCGAGAAGTGAGTGTCTCGCTATCCATGTCACAAATCCATCAATAACTGAAATCTCCTTAAGACTTATGTCAACCGACAATATCCATATTATCAAATGTTTGATTAAATTCCTTTGTCAAGTTCTAAAGATTAGAAGCAAATCACCCATCCCTGTAACATAAAGTGTACTGTACTCCAGCCGTTTATTACAGCATGTACATTTGACCGTTCCCATCTTATTTGTATTATGGGCCAAGGACCTAAAGTACTGAATAAAACCTGTCCTTCTGTCTGTCCAATAACATGCTTGATTATTTCTAGCTGAAAACATGGGTGCTTGTGATTACAAACTTCTCAAACTGAGAAACAAACAGTGACCAAACCGGTGATCTTGGCCTTCGTTGTTTTAATATGGAAATGTATTGTTCCTCGTCGTCCGAGGTACCTTGTTGTACTCTTCGCATTTCTCGTCGTACCTCTGGATAAGAGTGTCCTTATCCAGACCTTTCTCAACCAGGAACTCCAGTAACTTCTTCCCGTCCTCCAGGGAGAAGCTTGTCCCATCCTTCTGTGATGTTTGTCTGATGTGATAACAACTTACATGCACATAACGGTAATACCCAGCGGGTTCAAGAAAGGCATGTAAATAGAACTCTACACGAAGCATACGTATAACCATGATGATGATTCCTACGCTCTGAACATTGTTGATGCAATCCCATACCACTATTATTGACGTCATGTTTCATTACCTCAAAACAGTACTCCATTGTCGCCATGTGTACCGCCACTTTTTGGAGGATGCTAACCCCTTTTTGTACTCGGGAAATGGGGCTCAGAGGGTATTCGAGGCATATATACGTACCAGGCGACCATTGATAATTCAATAGTTGCATTGGCCATATTTCCTCAAAATATGCAATACAACTGTTATTGTATTATTAAAAAAATAATATTGGTAATCGTAAAAGAATCCTTCATTATCTATCATATTTATTTTTTCCATATTTTTTTCAGTAATTTAACTTCAAATCGCATATTTACATGACGTGTTCTACGTGGAAAGTGGATTTTTAAAGTCAGTTGACTCTCTTGCCTCGGGAAGATGTCTGAGAAGGTGAATGTCATAGTTCATAGCACAACATGCATGCCAGTATTTCAACTACAGTACTGGTGAACTGAAATGGGCTTAACGTCGCGTTCAAGATTATTGCACTTATGTAGCGACGTGTGTGTACGTGTGTATATATACTAGTATATGTGTGGTTGTGGGTGCTGGTTCTAGTTCGGACATATTCCTGTTTTATAGTACTAATACACTATGCTGCACCCTACTCATACACGGCATACCGAGTCAGAGCCGAACAGTCCTTGTTTATCTCCAGACGCCAGACACACAAGGCTAAAACAAGTATTATCTTTTAACGTATTTTTTTATGACGAGGTCTGGGATCGAACCTTCTGCTCTCCATGGAGACTACACTCTTTAAGCAAATGAGTGAAAAACCTATAACGGAAAACCTTTAAGACAACGTACAACTTTATGCATAACAACATCTGGTTTATTGCATAAAGCGACGTTTCAATGTAGATTCTTACACTCCGGCTTGATAACGGTCTAAGAATCTACATCGAAACGTCGCTATATGCAATAAACCAGAAGTTGTTATCAATAAAGTTGTACGTTTTCTTACTTACTCACCAACTTCTAGAATGTCAATCAAACAATTAGAAAAAACAATGGTATTATCGTACAAAAGGCTTAATTTTATACCTGTTTTCGTCACTCACCTGTGTGCGTCCTCCATCTTGACACTTCGATATCCTGTAAGATTACACTTGCGTCCCTGGCCTAGTTTCTAGGCAAACAAGAACTCTCAAAAAACAATATGATTTGTCAGCAGTTTCAAAAGTAAATTGTTTGGATGCAATATGGAGGGCCACTTATGCACTTTTGAGCAATGGAAATAGTCCTAATTAACCTGCACAGAGACTCTATACCCGAATCTGCCTTAAATCTGCAGCATATAATCTTTGTTCATGAACTTCTATCAGTGGTCTGCGCGTTCTCAAAATAGAAATCACATTGTATGTGACCTGGTGAGTGGAGTTAGTTTACGCGAACACCCGATACATGAGCAAATTTACTTTGTATCCTGCAAAGACTACAGTGGCAACAGCGTCTGTTCGAAATCAGCCTGAACAAAAGCCCTATGAACATGAAGACGAATTTTAAACGTCAAAATTATAAACCTCAAGTGAAAGAATACCATCATTGAAAGTGACATTAGTCCACCATCGTCACCTTAACTCACTTGCCTCTGAAATGGCCCCTATACCCCTCAAAATTTTTTACCAATCAACGGGGGTACGGGTGGCCCAGTCGTCTAAGGCCCTTGGGCACGCCAGAAACCTATGATTGTGGGTTGAATCCCGGTTCACCCCGATTATGTTTCTAGGTTTGTCAGCACCATACCCGTGCTCGTGAGTTTCACCGAAGTGGTAAACGTCTGAGACCTGCATCACTTCGGGCTTTCCTCCCACATTAAGCTGACACGCCGTGATATAACTGAAATAATGTTAAAAGCGGCGTTAAACACAACTCACTCACTCACTCACTCACTTTTACCAATCAACAAGCTTCGCTGGCGAAAATAACTGCAACACAACTTCAAGTAAGGGGCTTATCTGCTGACACGTAGAGCAGGGTATGTGAAAATGGTGTTCACTAAATTTTTAAGAAATTAGTCTTACAATTTTAGCACATTAGTGACACTTTGTCATAATTAATACAAGAACACTATCATATAGAAAAAAACTTTATAATTTACTATCATTCTCGCGGATGTTTCCTGACGCTCCCCGACGTCCTTTGGTAGGACCGGATAGCATCAGTATTTGACAGTGATTCATAAACTCATACTCGTCCATTGGTTCATTGCAAAATCTAAAAGATTTAAAATCTAAATATGTCTTCTTTACGATTACATCAATCAAATAGTTGTTTGTATGGTATTTGGTATGCTGTTTGTTTATGTACCGATATATGTATGTGTGTATTCGTGTGTGACTTGTGTACACAATCGCATCATAATATTTGCAACAGTAGGTACAATTAATCTTAACTTATTATTTTATGTACAGTTTACCCTCATTAATTGTTAAATGTTCTTTGTAGGGAGAGGTGTTTAAAAAGGTTGAACCTGTTCACCAATCCCAATCCTTTTTCTTGGAAATAAATATTGCTTAAACTCATGCTCATGATATAGTCGAATATCTTGTTTCTCAATTCAGAGTAGGAATCACAGACATAAAAGATGTGCAGTCCAGTCTCAACAGTAAAATAGGGTTTAAAGGAGATTTACAGTATCAAATAAATAGGGGATGAAATCATTTATGGAGCATACAAAAACAAATATATTGAAGGAAAAAATTCGAAAGGCAACAGAGGCGACTCGTATTCTGGAAACTACCGAGAGCCAATGAGAAGAGTTGTCATCACGTGACGTGACGTGACGTCATAGCTGAGAGTTTACTTACCGACGATCACTGTTTCTGTATAGTGTTTTGATAGCGTTCGCTATGGCACCACCCAGAAACCCTATGGCTTGGCAAAGAGGCAGTAATAGCAAGTATACCTCACACTAGCTACCGTTAGCACAATGAGCACATTTAAAACAGCATGCATAGTAACCGTGAGTTAATGTATCATTTTGTAACCGTTTGCAATGGTAGTTATGGTGGCTGATTAGGGCCATCGCCGTATCGCCCTGAGATACCCATGCGATATCGCGACAAAGCGATAACACGACACGAAATTGCGATGTCGCGACACGACATGGCGATAACACGACACGACATCACGACAGCAGGACGCGATAACACGACACGACATGGCGATAACACGACACATGACGATAACACGACACGACATGGCGATATTGCCATGATCTGGAAAGTGGAAATATTAGTCAGGATTAAATATAGATTTGGCCATCGGCAGTCCATAAAATATAACAAGTGTCACCAGTAATATATAATCCCTTCATTCCTTCATTTATCCTACTGAAATCAACACTATAGGTAAATGAAGTCAATACCATTTAAACTGAAAGCCAGAACAATGTCAATGATACTGAATCAAAAAATGATCAATGGACACTTTATTAATCTTAAGTTCGATTTGTTGTCTAAATTGTTTTTTTCCAAAATTCATTAATATAAAATGGAATATACCATGGCTAGGCTGATATCAAGACATATTCATAATTGGACTATCTCCAACCTAAATCCACCTTTTTATGGAAATGGGACACCGTCAATTTCAAAACTTGAAATACTGCAAAAACAAAACATGTGTTGTGCCTCTCAATTAATTAGCCCTGTATAAAGCATTATTACATATTAACTAAAACTGACCGACTAAATGCCTTTTTCAATATTGCTGCCATGTTTGAAAATATTATTTGATCCTCTTGAACAAATTCATGCGTCATCACTGGTGGGATCAAGAATGTAAAGTTGAAGTTGAAGTCTCCAGTAATTTCTGAGGAGAAGATGTTTACAGATGCTGCCGAAGTCAGATGACGGATAAGCAGGCCATGTCATCAGTTGACTTGACTTTCTTTCAGGTAACCTTTAACATAAACGAACTTAACACCCTTAAATTGACTTTCACTTCTGCTCTGGAAACGAACCACCCCCAATCATGTTGCGAAATAGAAAAACAACTGTAAAATACTTAATTTCATCAGCAACTTCCGAAATCTTTCCCGTCACGTTTATCGTGTAGGCTAGTTTGACGTCATGTACCTGATGTACATGTATTATGACGCGCTGTCATTGTGACTGACTTACTGAGGTAGCTCTTAACAGACCTTTCTCATCTAATGACGATCTTAATTGACAATATAAGATTTGTTGTAAACAAACTACAAAATATGTCACTGTGAGCATACTTACGCTCATGTCACTTCTCCTTCAGAGGAACTACTTCATTCCGCGATACATGTGATCGTTGTATGTCTGTTAGTGTAAACACAAAGTAACATTCTAAATAAAATTTTGTATAGATCTACATCTTTCAAGGTAAAAACTAGTGATTTATAAAAATTGACTTTCACTTTGTGTGAGTTCATTGCTCTGATGTTCGTACATTTTGGCCCTCACGCTGTGAAGGTTCATCGTGTTCATACTCCAATGAACTTTCACAAAGTAAAAGTTGTAATTTTATATGTATTGATATTATTTATTCTTATATTCTTTATTTTCACAACAATCAGAGAGAATACCTTACCGAGAATCATGTTAGGGTATTCACAACAGCAATACAAATGTTAATGGAAATTGCAACAAAAGCTATGTTTGCACTATTAAAGAAAGGGCGAAATATTTACTTGCTTCTTGATTGTATGTTACCAGTATTTGTTTGCCACTATTCTTCACGAGTGGTTCTGAAATTTGGGGATTTGAAAACAAAAACCTTGTTGCAAGTTTAAAATTTTTGAAGAGTAGAACAGGTATGTACATTTCGACTACACAAACTTTCTATCCACCTTCAGCTGTATTGAAACAGTAGTCATAATGGGAATAGAACAACAATAACAATTATAATCACAATGATAAAATTATTAACGGCTCACAATGTATGGTAGACAATGCATGGAAGATTCTGGACAAACAAGCAATGACGTAAGCTCACTTAATTTTCAGTCAGGTTAGAAAGTAATATAACTAATAAATTATTTTTTTTATTATTATTATTATTATTATTATTATTATTATTATTATAAAAAATGCAGCAAATAGGGCTCGGGTGATCCTGGCACAGTCAGGCTGGTAAGGCTCATCATCAGCTCAGGGCCCTTGCCCCCTCTACACGCAGCCAGACAGCGAATGGGACTTCTCCCAGGAAGCGCTGCCTTGTCAAACCCACCGAGAACTTTTCGATGAATGTGGAGACTCCCCAACACAGCAGCCTTCTGCATTACCCAGATTGTCAGAAGGGCTGTATTCCCGGTAGCAAACCCAGGTACTCTCCCAATGTCAGTCAAAAGATTGGGAGGTACCAAACCTAAGGCACCGAGAACAATGGGGAGTCGGACAGCTTGGTACTTGGGATGCAAGCGTGACATTTCGAAAACGAGGTCTGCATATTTGCCATGTTTTCCTGAATCTTGTCAATCACATCAGTGTCAAAGGGGACAGAAGATTCAATGATGTAAATGATTTCATTGGATTTATTAAAATAAAGACAAGATCAGGTTTGTTGGCCTGGATACGTCTAAGGCTGTAAATGGGCCTATTCCAAAGAATTTTGTATTTATCATTTCCATGACTCCCTCTACATATTCCGGGTCGTACCATGGTTGGACCTCTGTGTCAAAACCACAAGCATGGCGAAGACGGTAATAAAATGATCGAGCTACACCATCATGTCGTTTAAGATACTGTGTTTGTGCCAAAGCTGGGCATCCACTCACAATGTGTTGGAGAGTCTCATTAAATTCATTACATAATCTACATTTCACATTCACATTTGTATGCAAAATCACACATTGACGGTTTCGAGTTGGAAGTGACTGGTCCTGAGCAGCAAACAGAAAGCCTTCTGTTTCACTTTTTAGGCCATGACAACTTCATGCAAGCGAAGGAGTGTGCAGGACTGCAGGATTATTGTTGTTGTTGTTGTTGTTGTTGTTGTTGTTGTTATTATAAAAATGAACTTCATACCTTGTAGCATGCAATGGCATCGGTCCATATAATGAAGTATTCTGACGATTAAGCTGAAGATTGGAATTCCGAAGAAACTGCCTTAAACATACAAAACATCAATTAATACCACTTGTTAATGATATGTGAAACAGGTTACTTCATAGTGATATTGAGTAAGTAATACAAGTGATGGTCATGGTTGTATAATGCACCTGTTTTGAATGTAACATGCATTCATAAATTCAACATGATGTTGACAGAAATTATGAGAGATGATTATGAAGGCAAGTTTTATCATGAGCAATAATTTGGTAGAAACTCCTGAAAC